TTTCAAAACAGTTCATAATGCCGAAAAACAGCATATATCTTGACATTTAAGAGGCAAGTCTATGCTATTTAGCATGACATGTGCTCTGTTTGTCATAAAACATTTTGAAAATTACAGCGTTACAATCCACTTGACCTTTGACCTGTTTGCAGAAAAATACCCCAGACAGTTTAATTTAATTTATGTCTTTTGAATTTTGAGAGGCAGGGTTTTGATTGTTATGTTGTTGTTTTGTTTTTTGTTTTTGTTTTTTTTTTTGCATTGTATACTTTTCCATTTGTATTGAATAATTATACAATACAAATGGAAAATTATAGAATACCAATAAAAATTTTACAATACAAATGAAAAATGATACAATACAAATGAAAATTTATAGAATACAAATGGAAAATTATGGAAATTATAGAATACAAATAAAAATTACACAATACAAATGGAAAATTTTAGAATACAAATGGAAAATTATACAATACAAATGGAAAATTATTGAATACAAATGAAAAACAAGCAAATTCAAAGAATTGTGGTCCCCCGCTTTCGATGTCTTAGTGGATGGGATGTCATTTTTTATTGCAACTGTCTTGTTTGTATGCCCTGTCTTGTCTGTGCATCAATACCTTAATTATTGAATTAATAACAGTTATGGCTAAGATTATATATATCTTCTCAAAACTACATTAAACTTCAACATCAATTTCATGAGGTCAAATATTATAATACTCGTACAATCCAAAAAGTCTTCTCACAATTGATGCACATGTGAAAAAATATCAAAAACAAAAGTGTACAATCGGAAAGGTCTTGAACAGGTAATGCACATGTCAAATGTAAATGTTGTATCTTCTCATAATCAAAAGTCATTAGCAATGTTCATATTTTTTGAAAATAAGGTCAAACTTGAAGGTCAAGGTCATGGGTTAAAAATATAGTACATTTGGAAATGTTTGCCACAGGTAATACACGTGTCAAATATGAATGAACTATCATCGCGCCTTCAGAAGTTAGCAAACTGATAAAATGTTTGAAAATTAGGTCAATCTTGAAGGTCAAAGGTCAAATATCATAGCACATTCGGAAGCATTTTGACACAGGTAATGCACTTGTCAAATATGAATACCCTATCATATGTCATTCAAAAGTAATCACCACCCTGTCACATGTCATTCAAAAGAAATCAGCAAATTTAAATTTTTTGAAATTGAAAGAAAAAGTGAGCAAGCTCACATACCCCACGCTCCCCCAAAACTCGACAATGCAACACGTAATGAATGGCACAGTGCATTTTAAATACACAGTATAATTCAAAAAGGGGCATAACTTGCAAAAATTCATCAAATCAAAACTTCTTGCATATAAGGACATTCAAATCTTTGTATGTTACAAAGAGCTAGGTTCACTTTATGCATAAAATGGCCCTGTCCTTATATCAATTAATTGACTATCACCCTCTATCCCTTTTCATATATCAAAATAAAGTAGAGACTTAGTGCTTTCATTTCCTGTAACAAAATTTCTTTTTGAGAATCCAGGTATTGGAAAACAGGCTTTGAGAAAATGCAATGTTCTTGAATTTTGCAGAAAACATGCGTATTTGACTACCTTCAGCAAAGAATTAAAATATGAGCACAGTCCACGATCCAAAAATTAAAACATATTTTGTGATCTTCAGAAACAGATCTTTCATTATGTAATTGCATATTTTGGATCAGAGGTTGTGCTCTATATGAAATATTGAAAAAATACCTCAACTTTTGGCCATTTTTAAGGGAATTTACAGGATATGTGAAAAATGACGCATTTTATGACGTCATAATGCATTGACTAGAGAGAAAATTACGCCATGTTCAATAGATACACAATCACCAAGGGTCCACGTTATAAATACTGCATTTTCAACCAAAACTGAGCAGTTTCCATTTTTCAGAAATTCTCAGGGCCAAAAAAGGCCCTAAGTGGCTCCTGCTCTTTAATTGGGCTGAAATTTCTAGATAAATAATGGAATCAGAATTTCTTGGCAATATACAAATCTACACATTATGTCTGAAATACCTACAAGGTTTCAGGAAATTCAGTGCAGGAGTTATGCTGACAAACTGTTACCGGTATTTAAATTCCTCAGTGATTTCGACTTGTTAATGAGTGTAAGTCCATGTCCAACACATGACAATTTACACATTTAAATAATTGATGGAATCAAAATTATGATTATGAATTTGTTTATATACTGTATTATGAAATTATCTAAGGCAAAGAACCAATTTAAAAGGGGGGGGGTGAGAACTATCCAAGATTGTGTGTATGTGTGTGTGTGTTAAATCATTAACATTTTGATCTCAAATCAATAGGGATCTTTTAAGGTCATAAAATATTTCACATAAAATTTCAATACAAAAGCTGATTCCAGTGGATTTCCTTATTACCTAGCTGGAAAGTTTCTTCAATAATAGGCAAAATTCTTAGGGCAAAAAAAAATGGAATCGGAATTTCCTGGTAATATGCACATCTACACACTTTGTACTAAATATCTGTAAAGTTTGACAAAATTATGTGCAGCGGTTTAAGAGGAGTTGCGCTGACAAACTGTTCATCTCTATATTCAAGATATGGGGGGGAAAATCTAACTTGAAAAGTGCCGAAATTCCCAGAAGAAATAAAGGAATCGGAATTTCCTGGTAATATGCACATCTACACATTGTATCCTAAATATCTGCAAAGTTTGACGAAATTCTGTGCAGCGGTTTTAGGGAGTTACGCTGACAAAAAAAACAGGACTGACGGACTGACTGACTGACTGACGGACGGGTCAAAAACATTATACCCCCAGCAACTATTTGCGTGGGGTATAATTAGGTCAAACATGAAGGTCAAGGGGTTTAAAATCATTTCCTGCTCGGAAACATCTTGCCACAGGTAATGCACATATCAAATATTAAAGGCCTATCTTTTCTCAAACAAAAGTTATAAGCAAAGATAAAAATTTTGATTAGTAGGTCAAACTTTAAGGTCAAGGACATGGGTCAAAAACCATAATATATTTGGAAAGGTCTTGTCACAGGAGATGCACATATGTAATATGAAAGCCTTATCTTTTCTTTTTAAAAATTATGACCAATTTAAAGTAATGTTAAAATATTTGAAAAGTAGGTCAAACTTCAAGGTCAAAGGATCAAAAATCATAGTATATTTTAAAAGGTCTTGTCACAGGTAATGCACATGTCAGATATGACCTCTTCTCAATCAAAAGTTAATAAGCAAATATAAACTTTTTTAAAAGTAGGTCAAACTTCAAGGTCAAGGTCATTGGGTCAAAAAATCATAGCTTATTTGGAAACCTTTTGTCACAGGTAATATACATATTAAATATAAAAGTCCTATAATTTCTCATTCAAAAGTTATGACCTATTTAAAGTAACGTTAAAATTTTTGAAAAGTAGGTCAAACTTCAAGGTCACGGGGTAAAAATATGTAGTATATTTGAAAGGTCTTGTCACAGATAATATATATGTGAAATATGAAAGCCCTATCTCTTCTTATTCAAAAGTTATGACCAATGTTAAAGTTTTTGTGACAGACAGGCTGACAGACGGACAGACGAATGAGATTTAATGTCCCCTCGCTTTCGCGAAAGCGGGGGACAAATACAGAATATAAATAAAATATTATAGAATACAAATAAAAATTTTACAATACAAATGGAAAATTATAGAATACAAATGGAAAATTATACAATACAAATGGAATATTATACAATAAAATGAAAAATTATACAATACAAATGGAAAATTATAGAATACAAATAAAAATTTCACAATACAAATGGAAAATTATAGAATACAAATGGAAAATTATAGAATAAAAATAAACATTATACAATACAAATGGAGAAGATCAAATATTGCAAGGTTTGACAAGCCATATTTATATTTACATTATCTGTCTACTTCAATTTGATTGGTGCATGCTTCTCAATGAGAGAAGCAAGCCCAAGAATATCGATTAAAAATCGTCAGGGGTCCATTGGCAACGTGTTGACTCAGGACCCCTGATGTTGCAAAGGCGTCGGAAGCAAATTGAAAGTGGGGTGGCTAATTGAAAGTGGGGGGGGGGGCTAAACCAACAAAAAAAAGGTAAGCCCCAACGTGTTTCGTCATCACGGAGCACTCTTAACTACATTGTAACGTCAAAAACAACGTCGTGAAAGTTACTCACAATTACTCTTCCTGGTCATTTCTCACACGGTTTGCAGTATGTGCCAAAATCTTTTTTCAGCACTAGCCCAGTCGGGCAAGAAATGAAAAATTTTTACCCAAATCACTAAACAACCAAAAATAAATAAACAAACATGGACAAAAAAAAAAAAGAAGTCGAAAATTTCAATAAGAATTTTTTTGACAATTATTTAAGATACTGAGATGGAAATGGATAAATTCTGAAAACTGAAAATTCTACTAGTCCGATCGGGCTAGTGCCGACCTGCATGTACTTGGATATATAGTGAAAGTGTATCTACCAAATTTGTTAAAATATTATGACAAAAGTCCACGAACTTTTTGAATGACCCTCGTATAATTAAAAAACCATTTCAAATAGAAATGCTTGAGTCTTTGCAAAAAAAGCAATATTAGTCCAAGATTTATCAATTTGGAAAATTTATTCTCCTTATAAAAATATGAGTAAAAGAAACTTTTCTGTTATTAAAAGAAAATGTGCTTATCCTAGAGAGAGTTTTCCTTACCAACGAAAATTGAAAATTTAAATTTGTGGAGGAATTACGAAATAATTAATGAATGAAATTCGTAAATGACTTTTAGCAATTTTATTTTCATCAAAATCCTCGGTAAATATAAGATGAGGTTTTACTACTTTGACAGACTTTCTTGGAAATCTGGAGGTAGAACTGAATCACACTCAAAACTAGGGTTTTTTAGAATCAGAGAAAGATTTCTAAATATGAATAATGAGGATAAAAGTTCTTGGTATATATATGAGGGTTTGACATGCCTTGTAACATAGCTATGAAGACACTAGGTATTTGGCTGTTTATTGTTTGCACTGCTGCTCTCCAGAGGGAAGAAACGTTCTTCCCAAACTTGGGAGTCTTTCAAGATGTGAGCATTAATCCTGTGGGGTACGGACCAAAGACTCGGACCCTCCCTCTATACGTGCAGCAGCTGTACGAACAGATAGAACAAAATGAGGATGACCTACGTATGTATCCAGACCGTGACCCTAGGGTGCAATTCTACAGCGCAATAAGGACTGGTATGTTGCCGCTTTTTTTTATCCATGCATCCATTTTTTTGATTTTGTCAATTGATATTCTGTTTTAGATTATATAAATTATAAATAAAGGTAAAACGAAATTAACTTTTTTTTAATTATTATGTTTTAATTTTTTTATACAAACTTTTTCCCCCCAAATGTTACATGTGTTTTTCTTTATAGTATATTACAGCGAGCAAAACGTTTTATTGTTAATCACTTTTTACTTGTGAGAACTTTACTTTCACGAAATTATGCGAGACTGACTGCTCGCGAATATTTCTTTCTTGCGTATATATATATATATATATATATATATATATATATATATATATATATATATATATATATATATATATATATATATATATATATATATATATATATATATATATACAATTACCAAAGTTCGTGAATAATTTGTCTCGCTTAAAAACACAGAATAAATGTTAAATTTTTATAGAAATGTATCTCCAAAATAAGGAGTCACAAAAATTTTGTAATCTACATTAGATTCACTTAAAAATAACCCATTTTCTGTTTCCACTATTATTCATATAGGCTATTGATTTTTATATGCACCAGATTTTTTTTCAAATTCTCAGAATATAAAGTTTCATTTCATTGAGTACTCGAAAAAATTTTATCATAACGAAATGAATATTGATATGTAATTTCATTTAGTGCTCGATTCTCATTTTAACCAATTTTGTAAAGAAGAATTCTTCAGTGATTGAATTTATTAACTTTGATATTCAAACTCCTTGTAAATTTTGGAATATAGCTATGTCAATTACTTATGGTTAATACGTTAACTGTTTCTTTTATCCTTTGGCTTCTAGCAAACACATTATGTATATGATGATAAGTTGGGTTATCTATCAAAAACACATTATGTATGTTTACTAAATTTCCTGCTTCCTTCTTTATGATAGGGCACATTCTAGAGTCACTTTTACTTCTTATTTTTAATTTTAAATATGAAGATAGCGAACAGTAATCAAGCTCAAAATTCCTTTGAAACAATACAAATTTGCAGCAGAACAAACACAGACATTTAGAAACATCAGAGGTGGGATCAGGTGCCATGGAGGAGTAAGCATCCCCTGTCAACCGGTCACACCTGCGGTGAGCTCTTTGTCATGATAGGGCAAACGAAAAAAATTCGTAGACTCGTTGACTTTAAATGAGACTGTTAACATTCTTGTTTTATCAACTTATTTGTCAATAGCTTGCCTCGTTTTAGAAATTGTTCGGACGTAGAGCATGCTCTTGCGTATCGAATCAACTGTGAGACATAAACTTCATATGCAGGTGATAATGATATATTACTACATAAATAAGGGAAATTGACGATAGAAAAGTTGAAGTCATCGCGTTTATGATAGAGTTTTGTTGATTACCAGGAACGTCTTTTTCTAGTAATTTTCATAGATATTGTCAATCAGAAACTCAATCATCTTTTTAATGTCAACTTCATAGTACTTGTGTGTACAATCAAAATGTTGTAATGTTTGGTCATTTGAAGTTTCCATATTTTATTTGTATTTAAAATACAAATCCTGTCATATTAATCTACCTCTATAAATGATTCATAATTTGAGTATTTTGATCATATGTATTGTATGTTTATTACTTAATGTTCTAAATTTGGATTCACAACTTTTCATGTCATCGTATGTAAAGTGAAAGTAGAACGAACACATGTAATATATGCATATCCTTTCATATTTAACGATGTCCTTGTTGAAATAATTGCATAAATGCTGTAACTAGAGCATGATCTACTAAATGTTTTAAGAAAATTACGTTTTTACTGGTATTTTAACACGTGTTTTATGCTGCAGACAGTCTTAGTTTTCTATTTACATGTCGGCGCAATGCATTATGGGTGAATTTTCGTTTACTTCTTTGATCTGCGCACCCCAAATATTTATGCGCTGACAGATTTTTCTATTAATTAGAAAAATGAGCTTTAAGGTAATTAATTATGTTGCATAATATATTAATGAATTAGAGTTATATTTTATTCGTATTTTAAACTTGATAAAGTAACTTTTTATAGACGGGAACTATTTTCCGTTGTATTTTCCTATTGGATTCCGTTGCTTTCCAACGGATTCCGTGTTGTTTTGGAACGGATACCGTTCCCCTAGGGTATATAAGTGAGCACCCGTTGTACAACGGGGACTCCAGATTTTTGGGCAGTTAGGATAAGATGTAGGTGAAATTTTAAGAACTTTTGGGGAATTTTTCTTTATTTCTATTAGTAACTCAGTAATTTGAAGAAATTTAGCTAGGCCTATTTATTTATTAGAGTCGTTTCACAATATTAATTAATATGTCTTAGGGAAATTTAATATTTTTGGGAATTTAGGGTTAAGACGACTGCAGCCATTATTTTTTTTTTATTGTATTTTTCTTGATTGAATTTTTATCATTGATTAAATTTTATTTAATTTGTTAATTGAGATTAAGCCAGAATAAACCATCATCTCAAGCTATTTGAATCTTATTTTAATTATTTACTGGAGTCCATCATTTAATTTAAAAATAAATTGGTTTAAAGTTAGTAAATTTCTGGGTGTTCAAAGTACCGTTAATACACCCCAGTGATTGAGTGCCATCCCGTTACAATGTTTTTAACAAAATAATTTTGCAAATGACCAATGACAAGGTAGGTAAATTTACGACTTCATTTTTATTGAAAAAGCAGCCAGCTGTCGATATTGAAAAACCTAGGCTTTAATTTATCGTGGGGAATGGTTGTATAAAGCGTTGAAAAGGCGCATGTTTTGATGTAATTGATTTTGGTAAAATTTTGTGATTTCAATTTTTTAAAAAGTTTCTTGGGGTTTAAGTATCCACATATAATTTACACCACTTCTCGAGTATACTAAGTATAGTTGTACAGTCCTCCTGAAGTTTTTTCCTTCACTGCTGTTTTCATTTTCACTTCTGAATTACTGAAGACAAAATGATAGATGGTATTCATATTGCCCCTCAGTCGCTCTATGTTTTACATGACAATCGTCAAGTTTTTGACCAATAGGGTCTTTTTGATTCATGAAATTTCTACAGCGGGGGGGGGGGGGGGGGGGTATTATGAATTAAAAATGTACCACAACTAACAAATGACACTGATTTCATTTTACAGGGAAGTCCGATGGTGTTGTTGAATTTGACCTGAACGCAGTACCTGTTCATGGTGACGTGACCAGGGTAGAAGTTGCTTTCACAGAACACATCCGTCAATTGCCTTCCCTAAAAGTTACATCACAGTATAAGCCAGGAATTGGTAAATTTTTTTTACTACAAACCAATCCTTTAGATTAAATATTATGGAAGTAGATTTTGTTGACACTGGGCAAAAAATGCTCGAAAATTAAATGAATGAATTAAATGAAAACATAGATTCTTTGGAAACGCTGGAATTTGCAAGAGATATATTTCAACAGTATATCCGTTCACACTTCTCGTCCCATGGTCTTTCGCCATTAAGCCTGGTATTTCGTTTATCACACATTTAAATTTTTACATTTCCTTGAATTACATTTCAATGTGATTGATTGATTGTTTAATATTGCTTAACGCCAAGTCAGCAATATTTCAACCACAATTTCGGCGGAAATGTGGCTGAAATATTGCCGACTCGGCGTTAAACAATAACAATCAGCCAATCACATTTAAAATGTACATGTTCTTTTAATACCTTATATGGTCGTTTATCATGATATTCATTGTAAAAGTATCAGATCGAGTCATTTATAAATAGAAATTGGAATGTTTTGTCTTAATTATTTTCTTAATTGCAGCATTAATGTGTATGTTTATGTATAGTGGGTAAAAATAGGCGAACAAAGATGTTTTTCAATCTTTAACATTATTATAGTTAGTCTTATTATTTTTATGCCAAGTGAACAAATGCTTGGAAAAATAAATTTTCTAATTTAAAATAAAAATTTTGTTTTATAATTTTTCAATCACTTAATCGTGCAAAAAGGTAATTAACTGTCCTATACAACAACTGTTTAAATGGAATTTGCTGTCATTTTATTTCAAGACTTTGATTATAATATTTATAGAATAAACACCGTACAATTCAACATCTGTACCTCCGAATTCCAGCCCTTATTTGTCGACCTGCTGATTATATTATTATTTCCCCGTACCGTAATTAGCCGTTTTGATCGCCAATTCATGAATATCACTAAATATTTTTTCTCTAAAAATAATCAGTATCGTTAGCATTAATTAATGATTGCACTCAAGTACACGTATGTAGCGAATTTGCTGAAAATGATAATAGCACTCTAGTGTCTATAAATGTAATGATTGTACTGGTCTAGAGATTGTTTTTTTTGGCGCGGGGACTATAGCATAGTTGTAAGCATATGTTACTGGATTTTCTGCCAATAATTTCAACTCTCTTTGATTTCACTATTTCAGTTGTGAATACCATTCACAAAAAACAATGTCACGTGGCTGACATAACCAACCTCATTATGGATCAGATGTCAAATACAACCCTTAGGCTGCATGTCAATGGTGCAGAAGGCCAGGTACAATATCTAAACTCAACTTTGGCAGTTTTCCTAGATTTAAAAATTTCCTATTTGCGGATGCGACGGAAGCGATTTGTCTTCAATCTGCCCAAAAACAAGGATGACTGTAGCTTGAAGCCTTGGACAGTGAACTTCAAGGACCTACATTGGTATCCAAAATTGTTTCAGTTCCCTGAAACCTACCAAGCAAATGTCTGTGTTGGAAATTGTCATTCTCCTCTATTGAATGCGTATGTCAACACCACTAATCATAGCCTGCTGAAGTCCCTCTTGAATAAAAGAATTTGCTGTGTCCCAATAGAATATCAGTCACAGGCTCTGATATTCCAAACAAAAAACGCTACCGTCATACACAGCGTGAAAGGGATGAGAGTAACGCGCTGTGGGTGTCGCTGAATATTTACTTTCACACACTTCAAATTTCAAGCAGTCGAATTCAGACAATTGGCTATACTTTAATTAAAAGTTAATTTGTTTTTAAAAGATCGTGAAGGTCTTGACTTTTTTTTTTTTATTTTTGAACGACTGGATTCCGCGCAGGTTCCAATGAATATATGTAAACATGGTAAAATGTTAGAACCCATGGGTTTTCTCTCCACTAGCCTAAACTACAATAATTTAATTTTGGTTTTAACGCGTCATTTGATTGGATAAAAAAAAAAGGTTATATTGTATAACCTGTGTTGCCTACGTCACGATGACTTGCGCCAAAAACGTATCAATCCGCTTGACGTTACATTTAAAATATGTACAATTTGAAGGCATTTTGAAGAAGAAATTGTCTTATTTTCTACACTTAAAGGTGGAAATTTAAATTATAAGGAATGAATTTAATAGCTACCCTAGTTATACTGATATAACCTGGGTTAGAACAGTTTAAGCTTTTTTTTTAAAACCTGGGTTGGGGCGGTTTACGCTTTACAAACTGCTTCGCGGTTTATAAAGCGTAAACTGCCCCAACCCATGTTATACAGTATAACTTGAGTAGCTATTTAAATCCATTCCTTAATTCAATCGGGTTTATTCTTGTATAAAAGATAACTACCCTTAAAACATTTTGTGACGTCATCTTTTGTTAAACCAGGTCCATTTAATTTCTTATTGTCCTGCACTCCATCCAGTAAGTTACCTGTAGGTGTCGTGGAGACCGGTCCTTCGGATGAGACCGTATAAACCGAGGTCCCGTGTCGCAGTAGGTGCTGGCACGAAAAAGATCCCTCACTGCTCAATGGCCGTAAGTGCCGAGTATAGGACAAAATTTGCAGCTCTCCACCGGCAAGTGGTGGCGTCTCCATATGAGTGAAAAATTCTCGAGAGGGACGTTAAACAACATACAAACAAACAAACCTGTAGGTGTCTAACAAGATTCAACTTATTGGACAGCTATAGGTAAAACAATGATAATGACAACAAAGGGCGGCGCTGATAAATAAACAGGATTGAAAAAGCTTTGATAAATCAAACAATTTAATATGATCAATGTAGAATATTAGCAGCATAAATTTTAGATATTTCACAAAATACTAGTAATCCGGTTGAAATTTGCAGGAATAATCCACTGTGTCCTGAATGTCTCACATGAAATGTAGAGGAATCCATGGCACCAATCTTAAAGTCCATTAATTTACCGTTCATTTCTCTTCATTTCACATCTCACAGAACATTCACAGAATCTTGTGAACACAAAAGAAGAATCAGATGCATGTGTTTACTTACACGTATCCTTGGGCATTTTTGCTAAGTTGAACATCCATTTTTCTTCCTTTTAATATTCCCTCACCAAATTTCAACTTATTCTTTGATGTCAACCTGCATTTTCGTTGATATGTGACCATTTGCCCTTCCGGTATTGTGTTATTTGCCTGTCATTGCTTTTAAGGGGTGGCTAGAGTAAAATCCTCCAAAACTTGCTCACAATCGAAGTACTGAACTGTTTTTTGCATACCCCGAAATAAAAGAATATCTATGTAAATGCTTTACCTTGCATTGAATTTTTGGTGTTTTATGACACTGTCAAGAATACCTGAATCTGAAGAAGTTGTTTTTAAATGTACGTCTCTATTCGTAATGTTGCCTTGTAAAATTAATAAATTGTCACGAATTTAATATGACAAATGATAAATTGCCAAGAATACAAAAATTTAACAGAACCAACTTTAACGCATGCGTGGTATGCCGGGGGGGGGGGGGGTATATCTGAAAATGTTGCAATGCGGACAAATACGTCTAAACAAGGTTAATGTTCATATTATCGATATAAAACGGTGATTAATGAAAGACTACAGTGGTAAATTGCTGAAATATTTTGAGTAAGTTATGAGCCTCAAACAAACAATTATACCAGATATTAGACTCTCCTAGACGCTAACATGCCTCCAACTGTCTAATATCTGACATAATGGACATTTTTTGGCTTATAACCATACCATCTTGTGTACAAGTCTTATTGAAATTTGACCAGGACTAGCGTTTCAAAGGATTTCAAAGACATTTCCATTTTAGTAACCATGGCACACTTTCAAAATCAAAAACCTATCATTAGAATTATGTATCCTAGTATAATGTACCTGTGTACCAAATCTTAATGAAATTGGAACAAAACTGTAGGAGTAGCATTTTGAAAAATTGTTCAAGTACAATCGGTCAGATGGACGGACGATGTACACATTTCTATCACATTAGCTCTTCTGGTCTCTGACCAACAAAAGGAGAAATTGAGATTTTTGTCCTAGCCAATTAGAGAGAAGCACAAATGCACACTTGTGTATTCATGCTAATCCAACCATGTAATCTTGTCAATGACCTTCGTTTTGCACATCTACACAACAAGCCTATTAACCATATAAAGGTTTCATCTCAACCGGATGATTAGTTCTCAAGAACACTCTAACAAAAAAGTACCCAGGAAGATATTTACATGTAATAGAAACAAACAGAGTAAAACAATTTATTCCCAAAATTCATTGGGGAAAATAATTCATTTTGCTCTCCATATAATAATTTTAAATCGTATAAATTGATTCCATTTTTATTGTTGCAAAGCAATAACTATTGAACATATTTCTATTCTTTTCACCTCAGCTCACTATAATTATAAATTACGACTATTGCATCAACACCATGCAAAGCCCAAGTCCCTTCTAATGAAATGTAAAGATAAAGAACAGTGATCATGCTCAAAAGTCTATTCCACAAAATAAACTGTGAGCAGAGTCAACATGAAACTCTGAAAACAGAGGTGGGATCAGATGCCATGGAGGAGTAAGCATCTCTAATTCTGTAAACAAAAGGTTCATGTAAAAGAAAGATTTATAGTGATATTTTATTCAAGTAAGACATTTGTGTACTGTTTATGCACAAATGTTTTCCCTCTTTCTCTTCTACACACACATCTCTCTCTCTCTCTCTCTCTCTTTCTCTCTCTCAGATTTTAGCTGTCCTGAGATGGGTTAGAAGTGTTAAATTCAAGGTAAACAGATCCTGTATGGAAGTCCACGTCTGATTCAGTTTTCCCTTCACCTCTCTGAGAACTTCAACCAGTTCAGGATGACTGGATATTGTATCACCATGAATCTACAACAAATATATTTACTGTATGTTTATTCAAACATCACTTCACAGCTGTGGGGAAAATAAGTATTAGAGTATCTAATTGACTACATAGTAAATTCATTGTTAAATTGTAAAGGTACTAGTATTTAATTAACTGAGAATCCATCACAAAAGTAAAGTGTTCTGGTATCTAACTAGAAAACTGAACAGTCAGCAAGGGCCCCACAGTGGGATAGAAATCTAAGGGTGCAGCTTGAAAGAAGAGAATTTGACTTAGAAAAAAAATTAAAAAGGATTTTTGAAAAAAATATGAAGAATATGTTTATAAAATTTGGAATACTTCCTAAATGACAAAGGAGATTATCCAACCTTCAGAAATTAACAATATCCTTGTATTTAATAAGGGTAAAAAAAACATCATATCATATAATAATTCAATTAAATGTGTAATTTAGACCAGAATGAAGCATACATTTCATAAAATGCCAACCTTTGGTGAATGCAAACATCACCTAGGCTTGACCTTAACTTCAAAACAAGCATCTCTTTCAAACAGAATCTTAATTGTAATCTTAATGTGACAGATAAAGATAAGGTACTGGATTGTCTAGAGCAGGCAAAATAATTATTCTCAGAGGATTAATTGTACTGTTGTCTCATCCTTTAATTGTAAGTTTACAACCTCTTGTTCTAAATTGCAATAAGAGCATTTTCAGCAATGAAAGAATGAGACAGTTATGATACTATTACATTTATAGTTTCCCTGAATGTACACAAGGCAGCAATAAACAAGAGGCCCATGGGCCACATCGCTCACCTGAGTAACTTTGGCCATGCTGTTCTTTACCAGATTTCCCCCTTGTAATACTTCTTGTGGAATTTAAAATCTACACTATCCCAGGATGCTTCCAAATAAGTTTCAGTTTTTCTGGCCCAGTTGTTCTTGAGAAGAAGATTTTTAAAGATTTTTCTTACATATTTCAATGTAAAACTTGGATTCCCTATTGTGGCCCGCCCTACCCCCGGGGGTCATGATTTTTACAATTTAGCATCTACACTACCCCAGGATGCTTCCACATAAGTTTCAGTTTTTCTGGCCCAGTAATTCTTGAGAAGAAGATTTTTAAAGATTTTTCCTATTTATTTCAATGTAAAATTTGGATTTTCTATTGTGGCCCCGCCCTACCCCCCGGGGGTCATGATTTGAACAATTTAGAATCTACACTACCCCGGGATGCTTCCACATAAGTTTCAGCTTTTCTGGCCTAGTGGTTCTTGAGAGGAAGATTTTTAAAGATTTTTCCTATATATTTCAATGTAAAACTTGGATTCTCTATTGTGACCCTGCCCTACCCCCGGGGGTCATGAATTTAACAATTTAAAATTTACACTATCCCAGGATGCTTCCACATAAGTTTCAGCTTTTTTGGCCAAGTGGTTCTTGAGAAGAAGATTTTTTAATGACCCCACCCTATTTTTGTCTTTTCTTGATTATCTCCCCTTGTAAGGAGACTTGGCCCTTTATTTTAACAATTTAAACTCCCCTTCACCCAAGGATACTTTGTACCAAGTTTGGTTAAAATTTGCCCAGTGGTCCTTGAGAAGAAGTTGAAAAAGTGAAAAGTTTACAGATGGACGGATGGACAGACGGACAGACAAAGGGTGATCAGAAAAGCTCACTTGAGCTTTCAGCTCAGGTGAGCTAAAAATGATATTTTTAACTCCATCTTTTAAATAAAAATTGATTCCCCATGAAATTTATATTTCAATAAAATGTGTATTCAGTATAAAAGTGAAAATCAAGGTATTTAATTAACTGAATATTCAATATAAAAGTGAAATATTAAGGTATCTAAATAGTTGAATATTCAATATAAATGTAAACATTAAATTATCTAATTCATAAACTGAATATTAATTATAAAAGTGAAACATTAAGGTATATAACTGAATATTCATTATTTAAGTGAAATGATAAAATATATACATTGTAATTAACCAGATATTCATTATAAAAGGAAAGTGTATGGATATCTAATAAACTAAACATTCACTATAAAAGTGAAAAACAAAATAGACAAGGAGCTTCAGGAGGAACAATTGTGGTCCCCCGCTTTCGGCATCTTAGTGGTTGGGATGCAATTATTTATGGAATATTGTAACTGTTTATGGTTTTTGTTGTTGTTCTTGTCTGGGTGTCCTGTCTTGTCTGTTTATCATCATGATCATACAAAAAAAGATTTAAATTTTTGAATTAATCAAAGTTTCTTAAAACTGCATCCTAAACTTAGGTCACTAGGTCAAATATCATAATACAATGAGAAAAATCTTGACAAAGGTAATGCACTTGTGAAAAAATATAAAAGCCTTGTTTCTTCTGAAGCAAAAGTTATAGCCAAAGTTAAAATTTTTGATAAGTAAGTCAAACTTCTAGATCGTAAAGGTCATGAATTCAAAAATGATAGTTTTTTCTAAAAGGTGTTTTCACAGGTAGCGTACATTTAAAATAAGAAAGCTCTTTCTTCTCTCATTCAAAAGTTATTACCAATGTTAAAAATTTTGAAAAGTACTGTTGGTTAAACTTAAAAGTTAAGATCATGAAACCATAAATCATTTGGAAATGTCTTGTGACAAGTAATGCACATGTCAAGTATGAATGCCATATCCTTTCTCATTCAAAAGTTATCACCAATTTCAAAATTATTATAAAGTAGGTCAACCTTCGAGGTCAAGGTAACATGGTGACTTAGTCAAACATAGGTAATCAGAGATTACAGAGCTCACCTCAATGAATGTTGTCTTTAATTAAGGCAAAGTCCCACACTAAAGTAATAATCTAGTAGTGTGCATCCCTAGATGGAATATTTATGCACTTTTCATCTGATAGGGCTTGCAGTTACTTGGGAATGGACTAATCTAAATACTAGTCACTCATCAAGAAAATGTGTCATATCCAGCATCTGAAGCAAGTTTGAGAGTGTTCGTACCTTGATGCATCATCCATGCAAGTTTGGTTCAGATAGGCATAATAGTTACAGTAAAACTTGTCTTATCCGGACACCACTGGTTCCAAAGAAATTGGCCGGATTAAGCAATATTTTGGATTAGACAACATTTTAAAAAATTGAATTTACTGCAAGGGACTTAATGTTTACACCGTATTAGACAACATTATGGATTACACAACATCCGGATTAGACAAGTTTCACTGTACTTGGAAATGAGATCTGCTCCAAAAACTTTAACCTGGTCACTCATCTGGAAAATGTAAGTCAAATCCAGCATCTGAAGCAATCCAGTAGTGTGTGTCCCTAGATGTATCATCCATGCAAGTCTGGTCAACAAAGGACTTAAAATTTCCTGGAAATGAGATCTGCTCCAAAAACTTTAATGTGGTCACTCATCCAGAAAATATAGGTCAGATCCAGCATCTGAAGCAAGTCTAGTAGTGTGCATCCTTAGATGTATCATCCATGCAAGTTTGGTCAATATAGGGCTTATAGTTACTTGGAAATGAGATCTGCTCCAAAAACTTTAACTTGGTCACTCATGTGGAAAATGTAGGTCAGATCCAGCATCCGAAGAAAGTCTAGTAGTGTGCATCCTTGGGTGTATCATCCATGCAAGTTTGGTCAATATAGGGCTTATAGTTACTTGGAAATGAGATCTGCTCCAAAAACTTTAACCTGGTCACTCATCCAGAAAATATAGGTCAGATCCAGCATCTGAAGCAAGTCTAGTAGTGTGCATTCTTAGATGTATCATCCATGCAAGTTTGGTTAATATAGGGTCTATACTTATTTGGAAATGAGACCTGCTCCAAAAACTTTAACCTGCTCCAAAAACATTAACCTGGTCATTCTTTAGCTGAAATTGCAGCATCTGAAACCTTGTTTGGTAAAATGAAACACATTAGAAGCATCCTCCATGCATCTCTGATCAATATAGGGCACAGAAGTACTTGAAAAGAAAACTGCTCCAAAAACTTTAACCTGGGACGCCAACGCCGAGGGTATTACATAAGCTCCCAACTTTGTTGAGGTGAGCTAAAAATCATAGTACATTTGGAAAAGTCTTGTAATGGGTAAACACATGTCAATTATGAACACCCTAATCTTTCTCATTCAAAATTTATCACCAATGTTAAAAAGTTGGCTAAACTGCAAGGCCACAGGGTCAAATATCATATTTGGAAAGATTTTGTCACAGGTAATATACATGTGAAATATGAAAGCCTCATCTTTTCTCATTCAAAAGTTATGATGAAGGATAAAGTTTTATGTGAACAGACTGATAAACTGACAGACGAATGAGATTTAATGTCCTTTCGCTTTCAAAAAAGTGGGAGACAATAACTCTCTGCTAAGAGAGATAAAGTTGATAAAGCAATATGTTTCTTTTATTATATTTCATATTCAATTTTGCTGAGTCTCAAATTTTGTTGATTATGGTGTACTATGCTTTAATTTCTATGACTGAAATATTGCTGACAAATAATCAATCGATCTTCTGTCAGAAAATTCCCTTATCTCTGTAGACAGAGGTTGATAACACAGAAAAAAAACATACCTTTAGAAAAAGTCCCAGATAAGCATTGGCCACTTCAAAGTCTTTCTTGGTGTCAAGAACATGACTAATCAAGTGAAGGAACTGGGACATAGTTGTCACAGATCCCCCCGCATCAGGTCCTAAACATCGAATCTCGTTATCAACAGCAGAGGGACCAAGTTCTTTCAGATATCCCAAAGCACTCTGATCTGTAAAACCAGATCTATCAACATTATTCTACAAACTGAACACAAATAATTTACAACGAAAATAGGAAAATTAAAGAGGGAGCTGTTTAAGTTCCATTATTTATTTTGTAAGGTAGTAAAAGGAAAAATATACAACAAATCGTATTGTAATGGTTTGGACCGTGGATATTGGCCTGGGTAGCTCAGTTGGTAGAGCACCTGGCTAGTGATGCAGGGGTCCTGGGTTCGAATCCCAGTCCAGCCATACATTTTCTCCTTTCCTGTTGCAGATTTGGTACCGTTGACCACCCCTGGACTTGCAGGTGAAAGTCCTGCCAGGGGGTAATAAGAACTTGGGTCATGTCTTTGAGGGCTAAGACAATTTAAGGAGGGAGGAATGTAATGGTTTGGTCCATGGATATCGACCTGGGTAGCTCAGTCGGTAGAGCACTTGACTAGTGATGCAGGGGTCCAGGGTTAAATCCCCAGTCCAGATAAACATTTTCTCCTTTCCTGTTACTGTATATACACAAGAGGCCCAAGGGCCTTAACAGTCACCAGAGTATAATACAACCCTTTAAAGGTTTAGTGGAATGGTAAATAATTATAATACAAAATAAACTGAAATTCAAAATCAAGAGAAAAATTATGAATAGGAATGAAAAAAAATAGTTAGTCTAGTAATCGGCAACAACCCAGAAACTTGCTTGTATGTGCATAACAAACATAACAAAGTGGAGCATCCCCTAGCAGAAGAGCACATCAATCCAATGTAAACTGTTATTTCCGATTCCTGTTTGAAACCCATGGTAAAATAAGCTAAACATGCAGGGCTGACTACTAGTAAAAGTTGTCAGCCCTGCCTAACATCTACTAGCCCTGAGAAAATGATTGCCTTTCTAAAAATTAATTTCATTATAAATGTAAAATTAAATAAGTTGTTTCGTCATCCACCTTGCATTTCAGGGCTGGTAAGCATAAAAGCTATGTAACATGTCCTCACTAATCACACTTACCTCAAATCAAAGCTATGCTAATGAGAATCTTGACTTAAGGTCAAGATCTAGTAAATGACTTTAGACTGTCTTCTTGGTGCTAGATCCTTTATGACATCCTTATCAATTTAAACTTTTGTTTTCTCATACTTTACAGCTCTAATAGAATTATGTAGAAAATAAAGTATTTTCATGAAATCCAATTTGAAATTATGTGAAAGTAATCCCAATATCTATATTCAATTTATTATATTATTTAAAGAAAAGGAGAAGAACATACAAATTACCATTTTCTGAGAGATTATAGAAAAGAAGATTTTCAAAGTATTGATTCATTTTCACTATATAACCCTTTTAACTAGTTTTTCAGTTTGCAGCTATGGAAAAAAAAATTTGATAGATAGATTAATAGGTACGTAAAATTCTCAAAATAGAGTATAATCTATAAATACACTTAATTTGATCATTAAACAAGAGGCCCAACTCTACAAGTTTGATCTTTCATTGTGGCCCCACCCTACCCCTGGAGGTCATGATTTGAACAAATTTGAATCTACACTATCTGAGGATGCTTCCATATAAATATTACAAACAGTGGCTTTACTGTTCTTGAGAAGATTTTTAAAGATTTTTCCTATATATTCCTATGTAAAACTTTGATCGTTCATTGTGTCCCCACCCTACCCCTGGGGGTCATGATTTGAACAAACTTGAATCTACACCACCTGAGGATGCTTCCACATAAATATGACCAATCATTGCTTTGCTGTTCTTGAGAAGAAGATTTTTGAAGATTTTTCCTATATATACACCTATGTTATACTTTGATCGTCCACTGTGTCCCCACCCTACCCCTGGGGATCATAATTTGAACAAACTTGAATCTACACCACCTGAGAATCCCCTTCACCCAAGGATACTTTGTGCCAAGTTTGATTGAAATTGGCCCAGTAGTTCTGGAGAAGAAGATGAAAATGTAAAAAGTTAACGACAATGCCAACAACGACAATGACGACGACAGACAACGGACAAATTTCGATCAGAAAAGCTCACTTGAGCCTTTGGCTCAGGTGAGCTAAAAACTAAATCATCAATAATTGACCTGTATGGTAAGGTAACTCAAGTGTGGAACTAGAAATATGTCCATAGGACATGAATGCCCCGCCGAGGGTATATTAGTAATGCAACATTTTAACACAAATTGAGAAATTTGTCATGCTTCTTCTATAAAGATACATGTATATATTTCTACAATTAAATGCAAAAATTAATTATCTTATTCTTTACAGTAAGCACAAAGAAGAAAGATACAAGTATAAAAAGAAGATGGGTGAACAAGGCATGCAGGATGCCTATAGCTTCAGATATCAAGAAAATCATATTCAATTTGTGAATGAAGTATTTAAAGTAAAGTTCTCATAATTGAAATTTATGAAATTATGATCAACAAACCTTCTGAGAAAAAAGATCTCAAAAAAAAAATTCTTTTATTAAAAAAATAAAATGGGATTCGTGGGATTCGAACCCCTAACAATAAAAATCCAGAGTATCATATTTCTATAAGACTAACACACTAACCACTACGCTACACAGCTCCTGATGAATAGTGGCATTTAAATCATGTTTGTGATTTGACCCTTGACTTAATGGACTTCAAGTATTTCTCGGAAAGATGCGAATGCAAAGGTATAGTGGGTCTTTGCTCCATGTTTTTGTAAACCAAAAAATGTATATTTTTATGCAAACTTTTAGGATTAACTTTCAAAAAAATGGAGCGAAGACCTACTCATATCAAAAAATTTTTTTAAATGTGAGAAAATTATCCTTTTTGCCCTCTTTAGTGTGTGTATGCTATTTCGTAGGCAAATAATTTTGGTCTTTGTGAGATTTTTGTAAATTGTAGAGATTTTTCATAAAGTATACTTTAATGTTAGATGAAATATCAAAGAAAATTTAGATGTAATTGAGGTTTTATTTTTCACTTCATGTTTGTTGCACTATAGGCACTTCGCCCGCCTTGTTCACCCATCTTCTTTAATCAGATTAAAATTAAGAAAAGGGGGTGGGGTGTTTTGTGCTAAATTTTAAAACCACAAATTTCCGCTGACAGTGAAGGAGTATTTGGGAAACACTAGAAATTGACATGCTTAAAAAGATAGCTCCCTCCCACTTGCTGTAAACAACTTCTTGCAATGATCTATTGTTCTTTTTATCAAACCCTAGCAGCAGGTGAAAGGCCTACACTATTATGTGACTAATGGAGACCTGTCCTAACACTAGAACCCATGACTCAGGTGACATGAACTTCACAATTATGGAAGAAGCACTCTTGCTCAGCACAACCATGCACTTAGTTTGTCTGCTAAATACCCAGGAATAGGGAAGATTTTCAAAGAATTAATGCATTTTTACTATATAATTTAAAGAACCCCACCCTAAAACCAAAACCCCTTATCCATGGGCCATGAATTTCACAAATTTTGGTAGAGGACCCAATGATTATTACAATCATGCCAACAGTTTGATTGCTTGATGTCCAGGAGTAAAGAAGATTTTAAAAGATTGCATTAATTTTGATGGTTTTAGTTCAACCTCTCAGGCTCCAGGGGGCAGGGACCATAAAATTCAAAATTTCTGTGCCCCTTCAGCTTTAGAAACTAAAAATGTTCAAATATTTTAAAAGGCATGACATGATAATAGACCACAACAGATAGCAATAAGTCACCGTAGTGATAAATTGGAAAAGGAATAAAAAGCAAAGGTACTTCACTCAGAACTATTGAAACATTAATTAGAGATTTCTGTGTCATCAAAAATACACAGTATCAGAGAAAAATTTTCACATTTGATAGCAACATCCTGCAATCATGATAGATAATAATACATACCCTCCTTTCCTTCATCTAGTCTACGCCCAAGTTCACCAAGAGAATTAAACCGAGAAAGATCAGCACCCAATTTCTTCTGTAACAAAAAAAAAAAAAACTATCTAGGCCTCTCAGAGCTACAGTTAAGCTTCAGTATATGGAGCACTGATATCTCAATACCCTAGGTATGTCAAAAAGAGTTGGTATTCCCAACTATTCTTCCTCTATGTATTTTAACTTCGATATCTTGAATCCTTGGATATTTCAAAGGTTTTTTTCAGTCAAGTTCGAGATAATGAGGTTTGACTGTAGTAATATCGTGAGAAAATGAATTCATTTCAGAAATACATAACAAGGCTAAAAAGTTCTCCAGGAAATGAACTTAGGTCAGGTGATCAAATCCTGTGAGGCCTAGAAGGCTTTACAGTACATTTGATCACATACCAGCCAATCCTGAAATACTGCAAACTTGGATTTAAATTAATACATCAATATTGTACCAACCAAGTTCATTTCATAGTAAACTTTTTATCCCTGTTATTCATTACTGATGTTGTAGGGAGAAAACATTCTAAGGGGGGGGGAGGATTTGCAATATAGCATTTCTTTTTGTAAGGGAAATATTTGCTATATTGCAATTGTCTTCCTAAATACCAGATCTTCCCAGGGGAATTTCTGCAAGAGAGAACCTTTGCTATAGAACACTGGTGCTTACACTTAAAATTGAGACAAACATTCAAATAGAAATATTACATCAACAGCTGTCTTGTTGCATCATATCTTGCAACAAGCTGTCACTTAGAAAATGTATTACAAAATAAACACTCCCAATCTAACCTACCTTCATTGGAATTTTGGGTTATAAAAAAGGTAATCACAATATTTTGGTGACTTCTTATTCAATTTTTTTTTTACACAGAGATTGAACAAGAGGTCCATGGGCCACAGTGCTCACCTGAGTCATTATATGGCACTGCTGTTCTTCATCATCAGATTTATTCATTATGTATTCCTTTGTAAAACTTTGATCGCCTATTGTGGCCCCACCCTACCATTGGGGTCATGATTTGAACAAATCTGAATCTACCCTACCTGAGGATGCTTCCATATGAATATGACTTATTATGCCTTTGCTATTCTTGTCAATGAGAAGATTTTTAAAGATTTCTCTTACATAATTCTATGTAAAATTTTGACCACCTATCATGGCCCCACTCTACCCAGGCCTGAGGGGGTCATGGTTTAAACAATCTTGATTCTTCATTACCTGAGGATGCTTCCATATCAATACCATTAAACATGGCTTTGTTGTTTTGAGAACACAATTTTTAAAGATTTATTCCTATATATTTCTATGTGAAACGTTAATACACCATTTGTGGCCTCTTCCTATTTCCAGGGTTCATGATTTGAACAAACTTGAATCTACACTACCTGAGGATGCTTTCATATCAATATGACAAATCATGCCTTTGCTGTTCTTGAGAAAATTTTTAAAGATTGTTTCCTTTATATTCTTAGGTAAAACTTTGGTCATCCACTGTGGCCCCATCCTACCCTGGGGTCATGATTTGATAAAATTTGAATCTACGCTGTGTAATGAGGCCTTCACATAAGTTTCAATTCTTCTGATCCAGTGTTTATGAGAAGAACATTTTTAAAGATTTTTCTTATTTATTCCTATGTAAAATTTCGATCAACCATTGTGGCCTCACCCTACCCCTGAGGTCATGATTTGAACAAATTTATATCTACACTATGTAATGAAGTTTTCACATAAGTTTCATCTTTTCTGGCCCAGTGGTTCTTGAGAAGATGCCATAAAATTCACTAATTCTTAATTATCTCCCCTTGAAAGAGGGCATGGAGAAGAAGAAACAGTGAAAAGTTTACAATTTTGATATCCTGTGTTTCTGTATGCCATTGCTACTAAATGTCCCACGTTTTTGTATTTCATTGTTGCTTTATGTCAAATGATTCTACACGTCATTGTTACTGTATGACTTGTGTTTCTATATTTCAAAATTTCATACTGACACTTAAAAAAATATAGAAATCAGCAATACAGTGTTTGTGAATTGTTCAACCTGTGTTAGGTACATGTGTACTGACCTTGTCTGTTTCCTCTGTGTGTTCAGGGACAGCAAACTTGGGTTGTAAGCCAGGAATTGTGGGTAAAAAGAAAGGTGCTGCCTTAGGAACTTTAGGGGGTTCTTTTGGTTTATTTCTCATCTACGAATGAAATCGTATCAAACTAATTAACCAAAACAATTACCTCACAAGAAGATAATCAATTCACTAAACATTTCAAGTTAATCATTCATTAACTACACTTAAGATGAAGAACAGTGAAATGAGATACTGTAAATCACTTTTTATTTACTTTTTTTTATTTTTCTTCTAATTATGCGAGGCAGTTTGCTCACAAAAATTTCATATTAGTGTAGATTTTCTTTAGTATAGATTATATACAACATGATAATTTTGTCTCACTTATAAATACCAAATATGTATCTCGCAAAAATAAAATGTTGCAAAAATTTGGTGATATACAGTAATGCACTAATCCTGACCTTAATGACATCCAGATTGAGGAGGTTGTGCCAGCGGGAGTTAGGAAGAAGAGACAAGGTCACTAACTCGGAGGATAATTGTTCTGGGGAAGCGTAATCATCTACATCATCCAGCACCATGTCATCTTCAGCTGTAATTTACACAAAACTAGTCATTCCTAGAACAATTGGTATCAATTATATGTAATTGTATTCTAGAAACCTAGATCTAGAAACCAAGGTCACTGCTATGACCTTAGACTTAGACCTAGAAACCAAGGTCACTGCACACCCTTTACCCAGAGATACTCTGTGGGTGAAGTATGAGCCAGATTGGGTCAAGGAGAGAGAAGATATGCTCTGGACAAGAGATCTTGGATGGACAGACGAACGGAAGGACGGACAGACAGACTGATCACTACAGGGCGCCCGCAGAGCAGGACCCTAATAAACCTCAGTTTTAACAGCTTGGAAAATGGTTTGGTCTAATTTACAAGTGTTAACAGGAACACAGAATGATAATGGTCAACTGAACTATGACATATATCCTTATAGCTTGTGTTATGAAATCATGTAAAACTCTGTTGAGGGAACTGAAGTTTGCTTTTTTAATTCAAATAAATTTAAATTAAAAAAATAAATAAAAACAATATTTTGGTTGTCTATTCAGTAATGAACGTATATTGAACATGAAACTGTTTTAAGTGAAGTTTTTACGATTGCATTATCTAAGTACAAATTAAAGTGAGAGTGAAAGAAAATGGAAATGAATGGAAAATGGGAATGAATGCACAAAGCCTATGTTTATTACAAAATATGATTGATGCATTAGAAATAAAGCAAAAGGAGTTCAACAGCATGAAGAAATATGCATTTACAAGATAAGTTGAGAATGAATTAAAGTGTCAAAGTGTTTTAACTAAGATATTTATTATTTAAGATAGAACCGAAGAAGAAAACAGAATGGAAAAAGTTCTCCTCCATACACGAATAATATAAGCTTTCAAAATGATGTTTTAATGGACTTTTTGGGGAACGTTTATTACATTGCCCTCGGTATTACAATATTTTACCATGACAAAATGAACATAGTAATAACGAGACAACACAGTTTTTCTATTTTTAGCAATGATGTGAATTCACAAAATTTAGAAATGTAAAAATAATTAAATATATTCCATTTTGACCCAAATTCCCAAACATAATTTGACATAAAAATTTCCAGATTTATGAGAGTATTATATGGTAGTTAAGTTAATATTAACATTCAAAAGAATAAGGTTTTTATCAACATTCAACACAACTTTAAATTAATATCACTTTAACAACTCTTTAATTGCCCAAAATAAGAAGAAAAACATCCTTCACCATTTTGGTTGTCATCTGCTGCAGTGAATCGTGTGTCAGGCATTTCCACTTCCTGTGGTTGGTAATCGTCTGGGAGTGGGGCCAGGGATACGTGGGAGAGGAGGGTCTTGTTGTACCAGGTATACACTCCTACACTGTCCACATGACTGGTGACCAGGAAATCTGCGGTCGGGGACATCGACAGAGAGGTCACGGCCATCTCCACTGAGAAACAGTCTACCAACCTAAAGTGAAAGTACAGCAGATAGATGATACAGCTGTTGCAAAAAGAATTATTTTTGCATATTTTATTTAAGGAATGAATTTAATAGCTACCCAATTTATACGGTATAAACTGAATTGTGGCAGTTTACGCTTTATAAACTGTTCATACTTTATAAACAGTTTATACTGTATAAACTGGGGAGCTATTAAGTTCATTCCTTATAATTTAATTTCCATTCATTTAGTGTAAGAAAAAAGATGATTGCCCTTGAAAAATGACTTCAAATTGTTTAAAATCTAAATGTACCTCAGGCGGATGGATACATTTTTGATGCAAGTCATTGTGACATTAGCAAAGCAATTTATATGAAATAAAATAATTTTTTATCCAATCAAATACTGCATTATAACCAGAATTAAATTACACAAGCTTACAACTTGCAAAAACCTCAGAAAATTGTATGAAAGATCTTCAACACAAATAATTTCAACAGAAAAACAAATATATGTTTTTTTTTCTTTTCAAAATTTTTCCACAAAACACTTGTCTATAAAACAAATTTGTTACACTTCAATCATCTTTAGTTGTACAAATTTATATCAAAAACTACACACAGAGTTTCATATGCAGCAGCTTGGTGGACAATTTACTCACCTTCCAGAGGGCAAGTCCCATGATCTGACTGTACAATCCATGGCGGATGAGATCAACCAGCGAGCATCAGGACTAAATGACATCCCCGTCACCTTGTTACTGTGACCCTGAAACTTCCTGACCACTCTACGAGTATCTAAATCCACCACAAAGATCTGGAAATTGTCCAATGCTACAGCCAACATCGAGCTAGAGGAAAAAATTTAAAAATATGTTTAAGATGAATCAAGGAAAGTGACAGACCTTAAAGAAATGAACTGCTGAAAAAACTGTAATATACATTGTAGACTGTCAATGTTAGAATTCTAGTAAGTAGAGCATGCAAAATAAATATCAACCAAGACCAGTTTCACCAATATACTGTAAGCATACTTTTTTTCCAGGCTGTAATAATTCTGCGGTATCACAATTCCTGTTCAATCCTCAAATAAAAAAAAAATATGCAGACTTCTTAGATTACCAATGTATGTCTTAAATGCACTTTAAGTACCCGTGACAAATTTCCATGACAAATTTGTGTCCACATACAAAGTGAAAATTAATTCAACACAGAAAAATGTTCATTTACAGTACCTTGATCCTTTTCCTTTAATACTTTGCTCCATTTTTACACTATCTCATAGTTGTGGTGTACAAAAGTTCTGTAGCTTAAAGGACCAAGCTTTTCTAAACCACAGATAAATCCTTCCTAATTTTTTTTATACACTATGTTTTCCTCCCACCTTGGCAACATGTATGTACATTATTTCATATGCTCTATTAACTAGATTTCTAACACTGACAAAGGAGAAAATGTTGTAAATCATAGTATAATATAGACACATTATTTCCTTCTTTGAACATGTACCATATTCCACAACATAAATGTATACCAAATGTATGAATTATTTTACCTTTCCCTGTGCAGTACAATCCCTGAAATGTAGTTTTCTGTCTGTAAAGTGTCAATTTTCTGGTGCTTCTTAAACCCCCAGAACCGAATTTCCCCATCCAGGCCTGCAGTCACCAGGATCTGGTTCATTCCATCTACTGCAACCCCCATCACTCCACAGGTATGGGCTATAACAGGTAAAAATAAAACCAATGGTAACTGCACCTTATTGAATGATTATTAAAAACTTATAAGAAACAATAGTCTGTAAGCTCGGTGCACTTTCTGGAAAAATCCCATGTATGTACCAGGGCATGTCTCCAATGTAAATCTAATTAAGAGTCGCTCTTACCTGATCCCATATGGGATCCCCTGTGCATTCCTAACTTAGATTCCAAGTAATTGGGTTCCCCTATGGATCCCCAGTATATCCCTGACTTAGACTGTACATACCTGGGTCCCCTATGGATCCTCTGGGTATCCTTTACTGTAGATTGTACATACCTGTGTCCCCAATGGATCCCCTGTGTATCCCTGACTTAGACTGTACATACCTGGGTCCCCCTTTGATTCCCTGTGTATCCCTGACTATAGGTTGTACATACCTGGGTCCCCTATGGATCCCCTGTGTATCCCTGACTATATGTTGTACATACCTAGGTCCCCGATGGATCCTCTGTGTATCCCTGACTATAGGTTGTACATTTGGTCCCTTATGGATCCCCTGTGTATCCCTGACTATAGGTTGTACATACCTATGTCCTCCTATGGTTCCCTCTCTGTTTCGTACATACCTGGGTCCCCCTATGGACCCCCTGCATATCCCTGACTTTATGTTGTACATACCTGGGTCCTCTATGGATACTCTGTGTATCCCTGACTTAGACCGTACATACCTGGGTCCCACTATGGATCCCCTGTGTATCCCCAACTATAGGTTGTACATACCTGAGTCCCCTTTGGATCCCCTGTTTATCCCTGACTATATGTTGTACATACCTGGGTCCCACTATGGATCCTCTGTGTATCCCCAACTATAGGTTGTACATACCTGGGTCCCCCCATGGATCCCCTGCATATCCCTGACTATATGTTGTACATACCTGTGTCCTCTATGGATACTCTGTGTATCCCTGACTATAGGTTGTACATACCTGGGTCCCCTATGGTTCCCTCTGTGTTTCGTACATACCTGGGTCCCCTATGGATCCTCTGTGTATCCCCAACTATAGGTTGTACATACCTGAGTCCCCTTTGGATCCCCTGTTTATCCCTGACTATATGTTGTACATACCTGGGTCCCACTATGGATCCTCTGTGTATCCCCAACTATAGGTTGTACATACCTGGGTCCCCCCATGGATCCCCTGCATATCCCTGACTATATGTTGTACATACCTGTGTCCTCTATGGATACTCTGTGTATCCCTGACTATAGGTTGTACATACCTGGGTCCCCTATGGATCCCCTGTGTATCCCTGACTATAGGTTGTACATAACTGGGTCCCATATGGATCCCCTGTGTATCCCTGACTATAGGTTGTACATACCTGGGTCCTCCTATGGTTCCCTCTGTGTTTTGTACATACCTGGGTCCCCTATGGATCCCCTGTGTATTTCTGACTATATGTTGTACATACCTGGGTCCCCTATGGATCCCCTGTGTATCCCTGACTATATGTTGTACATACCTGGGTCCCCTAGGGATCCCCTGTGTATCACTGACTATATGTTGTACATACCTGGGTCCCCTATGGATCCTCTGTGTATCCCCAACTATAGGTTGTACATACCTGGGTCCCACTATGGATCCCCTGTGTATCCCTGACTATAGGTTGTACATACCTGGGTCCCCCTATGGTTCCCTCTGTGTTTCGTACATACCTGGGTCCCCTATGGATCCTCTGTGTATCCACAACTATAGGTTGTACATACCTGAGTCCCCTTTGGATCCCCTGTTTATCCCTGACTATATGTTGTACATACCTGGGTCCCACTATGGATCCTCTGTGTATCCCCAACTATAGGTTGTACATACCTGGGTCCCCCCATGGATCCCCTGCATATCCCTGACTATATGTTGTACATACCTGTGTCCTCTATGGATACTCTGTGTATCCCTGACTATAGGTTGTACATACCTGGGTCCCCTATGGATCCCCTGTGTATCCCTGACTATAGGTTGTACATAACTGGGTCCCATATGGATCCCCTGTGTATCCCTGACTATAGGTTGTACATACCTGGGTCCTCCTATGGTTCCCTCTGTGTTTTGTACATACCTGGGTCCCCTATGGATCCCCTGTGTATTTCTGACTATATGTTGTACATACCTGGGTCCCCTATGGATCCCCTGTGTATCCCTGACTATAGGTTGTACATACCTGGGTCCCCTACGGATCCCCTGTGTATCCCTGACTATATGTTGTACATACCTGGGTCCCCTATGGATCCTCTGTGTATCCCCAACTATAGGTTGTACATACCTGGGTCCCCTATGGATCCCCTGTGTATCCCTGACTATAGGTTGTACATACCTGGGTCCACCTATGGTTCCCTCTGTGTTTCGTACATACCTGGGTCCCCTATGGATCCCCTGTGTATTTCTGACTATATGTTGTACAAACCTGGGAACCCTATGGATCCTCTGTGTATCCCTGACTATATGTTGTACATACCTGTGTCCTCTTTGGATACTCTGTGTATCCCTGACTTAGACCGTACATACCTGGGTCCCACTATGGATCCCCTGTGTATCCCTGACTATAGGTTGTACATACCTGGGTCCCACTATGGATCCCCTGTGTATCCCTGACTATAGGTTGTACATAACTGGGTCCTCCTATGGTTCCCTCGGTGTTTCGTACATAACTGGGTCCCATATGGATCCCCTGTGTATCCCTGACTATAGGTTGTACATACCTGGGTCCCCTATGGATCCCCTGTGTATCCCTGACTATAGGTTGTACATACCTGGGTCCCATATGGATCCCCTGTGTATCCCTGACTATATGTTGTACATACCTGGGTCCTCCTATGGTTCCCTCTGTGTTTTGTACATACCTGGGTCCCCTATGGATCCCCTGTGTATTTCTGACTATATGTTGTACATACCTGGGTCCCCTATGGATCCTCTGTGTATCCCTGACTATATGTTGTACATACCTGGGTCCCCTATGGATCCCCTGTGTATCATTGACTATATGTTGTACATACCTGGGTCCCCTATGGATCCTCTGTGTATCCCCAACTATAGGTTGTACATACCTGGGTCCCCTATGGATCCCCTGTGTATCCCTGACTATAGGTTGTACATACCTGGGTCCACCTATGGTTCCCTCTGTGTTTCGTACATACCTGGGTCCCCTATGGATCCCCTGTGTATTTCTGACTATATGTTGTACAAACCTGGGAACCCTATGGATCCTCTGTGTATCCCTGACTATATGTTGTACATACCTGTGTCCTCTTTGGATACTCTGTGTATCCCTGACTTAGACCGTACATACCTGGGTTCCACTATGGATCCCCTGTGTATCCCTGACTATAGGTTGTACATACCTGGGTCCCCTATGGATCCCCTGTGTATCCCTGACTATAGGTTGTACATAACTGGGTCCTCCTATGGTTCCCTCGGTGTTTCGTACATACCTGGGATCCCTATGGATCCCCTGTGTATCCCTGACTATAGGTTGTACATACCTGGGTCCTCCTATGGTTCCCTCGGTGTTTCGTACATACCTGGGATCCCTCTGGATCCCCTGTGTATCCCTGACTATAGGTTGTACATACCTGGGTCCCATATGGATTCCCTGTTGTCCCTGACTATAGGCTGTACATACCTGGGTCCCCTATGGTTCCCTCTGTGTTTTGTACATACCTGGGTCCCCTATGGATCCCCTGTGTATCCCTGATTGAAGGTTGTACTTGTCCACATGACCTGTGCTATAGCCAATCACACAGAAGTTTCCACAGCTGCTGATATCAACACACTACAAACAAAACATTTAGGAAATGAGAGGCTCATCAGCTGTATTAAACGGTCAAATAACAAGAGCATAAAAGGTACATGTCTTACATTTGTTTTAAAAGTAACTTTATCATTGATTCAAATCTCCTGAAAAATTATTTTATGAATGACATTCATCATGTAGAGGGAGATAAGAATATCATGAAGATTCTATACTTCATGAAGCCTTATTCCTTGCAGCTTATTTTTTCTTAATTCCTTCACTGTGATAAACCATAAAAATAACACTGCAGTAAAACAAGAGGCCCATGGGCCTTGAATCGCTCTTCTGATTAACTGTACAACCTATCACTTCTATTTGAAGCCTCGAAGTATCCTGTACATTTACATAAACCCTTGAAATTCCAATTCACACTCTGAGAACCCAAGATGATTCTAAGCCAATTAGTACCTGAGAGTTGCTCATGGTGACCTACTTATCACTTGTCATTCTCTGAGGACCCATCAACTAAGTTTGATGATTCTAAGCCAATTAATACCTAAAATATTTTTTAAAATTATAATCATAAAATTTTATAAGTAGGTCAAAGTGACCTACTTTTCAGTTGTTTTACTCCAAGGACCCAAGATGCATCAACTGACAAAGTTTGATGATTCTAAGCCAATTAGTACCTGTAATATTTAATTAAAGCCATAAATTTTCAAAAGTAGGTCACCGTGACCTACTTTTCAGTTGCTGTACTCTGAGGACCAAAGATACATCGACTGACAAAGTTTGATGATCTAGCCAATAAGTAACCAAAATATTTAATTACAGCCATAAATTTTCAAAAGTAGGTCACAGTGACCTACTTTTCAGTCAACCTACTCCGAGGACCAAAGATGCATCAACTGACAAATTTTGACGATTCTAAGCCAAATAATTCCTGAAAATATTAAATACAGCCATAATATTTCAAAAGTAGGTCACCGTGACCTACTTTTCAGTTGTTGTACTCCGAGGACCCAAGATGCATCAACTGACAAAGTTTAATGATTCTAAGCCAATTAGTACCCGAAATATTTGATTAAAGCCATAAATTTTCAAAAGTAAGTCACCGTGACCTACTTTTCAGTTGTTGTACTCCGAGGACCCATGACGCATAAACTGACAAAGTTTTATGATTCTAAGCCAATTAGTACCCGAAATATTTTATTAAAGCCATAAATTTTCCGAAAGTAGGTCATGGTGACCTACTTTTTAGTCAACCTACTCCGAAGACCCATGACGCATCAACTGACAAAGTTTGATGATTCTAAGCCAATTAGTACCCGAAATATTTAATTAACGCCATAAATTTTCAAAAGTAGGTCACTGTGACCTACTTTTTAGTCGACCTTCTCCGAAGACCCAAGATGCATCAACTGAAAAAGTTTGATGATTCTAAGCCAATTAGTACCTGAAATATTTAATTATAGTCATATAAATTGAAAAGTAGGTCACGGTGACCTACTTTTCAGTTGACCTTTTTTGAGGACCCAAGATGCATCAACTTACAAAGTTTTATGATCAGAGGACTTAAAATGTCCAAATTATGCCTCTAAAATGCTTTGAAATCGAATGCCTGCAAAGTTCAAAAAGTAGGTCACTGTGTCCTACTTTTTAATAATTATGTTTTTTGGCCCCAAGATGCATCATCTTACAAGATTTAATGATTCTAAGCCTCCCCATATTCGAATTAATGACCTTAATTGTTTTAAAAAAGATTAGCCAATAAATTCAAAAAGTAGGTCAAGGTGACCTACTTTTTAGTTGACGTACTTTGAGGACCCAAGATGCATCAACTGACAAAGTTTGATGATCATAGGCCTTAAATTGTTCAAAATATGCCTCTAAATCATTTTGAAAAAGAATGGCCGCAAAATTTAAAAAGTAGGTCACCGTGACCTACTTTTGAGTCAACATGATATGAGGTCCTTAGATGCACCAACTGACAAGATTTGATGATCCTAGTCCTTATAGTAAGCAAAATATCAACATTTTAATAAAATGTAATTTTTGGTCAACTTTGAAGTGACCTTGAGACCACGCCCTTTGCCCCAGGGTAAATCCCCATGCAAATTTTAATCTACAACATATCCTCATCCTTTTGTGTAAGTTTGGTGATAATCTGCCCAGTGGTTCTTGAGAAGAAGATTTTTTAGCAACCAGTACTTTTGTTTCTATTTTCCTAATTATCTCCCCTTGTTAAAGGGTCACAACCCCAGTTTTAGTATAAAAGGGAGCCCTTGGGCCAAGGATACCCTGTGACAAATTTGACAATAATTGGCCAAGGGGTTCTTGAGTTATGGCCCATATTCTAAAAAGTTTACGCACACCGCACACCGCACAAATGGCCATAGCATTAGCTCTTTGAGCCTTTGGCTCAGAAGAGCTAATTAACATTATATAAAAAATGATCAAGAAAGGGGTAATTTGCAGCAAATTCAGGGTAAAAATGGATTTAAAAAAAAACAAAAAACTTTTCATATAAAAACTATAATTAATTTTTGTTTGTTTATTTTTTTCCTCCCTCCCTTGTAGGTTTTGAAATTTAGAGGTGATGTTAAACATAGAATTAACTTTGAACAGCCTAAACACTATAATTAAGGGAGACCTACTTGGGCTGTGGCTGATCTGAACTGTTTCTCCTCAAATCGTGGATGACAAAGACGGAATTTTCCCATGGTGCCTCTCTGATAATTCCATGTTGTCACCTGAGCAAGTCCTCTGTGACATGCAACAATATTGTCCCAATCACTCGCCCGGGAAACATCTAGAACAAAAACAATATGGTCTCCAAATGAATTGCTAAAGAAACTTCTACAAGATAAACAATACTGTCCAAATTAATTACCCGAGAAACATTTAAGAGATAAACAATGTTGTTCGAATCAATTACCCGAGAAACATTTAAAAAATAAATAAGATTGTCCAGTTCAATTACACGAGAAACATTTAAAAAATAAACAATATTGTCCAAATCAATTACCCGAGAAACATCAAAAAGGTAAACAATGTTATCCCAATCACTGGAAAAATGTGAAATATCACGGCCGTATGAATCGGGGGCACGGGGGGCTGTGCCCCCCCCCCCCCAATAATTTTGTCGATATACAGAATACTATAGAAAACAGCTACTATACGCTTGTGCCACTCAATAATAACGTCTGATGACCTTATTACTTTGTTACCTGCAGCAAATGCTGTAATGGGGGGCATCATGTGTTTGTCCTTTAGGAGACCAGTCCTCTTTGTCTCAGCTTTGTTGTAGCTTGCCCGTCCTAAGCTCTTGTTTTCAGAGTCGTGAATAGTGGAAAATGATCGTAAAACACTGTCCTGTCCTTAAACAGAATTCAACAGAACTCTAAATGTGCATTCCTTAATACTGAAGGCACTGTGTCTATTAAAAACATACATATAAATAATAATAATGGTACTGTACCTGCACTTAGAATATTTTTGCCATTGTAACCATAGTGATGAATGGCGTTTGGTGGAGCACTGTGACCTGATCTTTGCCTCAGTAACCGACCTCCACCATCAGGTAAATCAAAGATCCATACCTATGTAGATAAATACACAGAGAATCAACATTGATTGAATATATGTACTTCTCAAAAACACTTAAACACTGAGTCTATCACACAACAACAAAAAAATTTGACTTAGAAGGAAATTTTCCAAATCATTTTTATAACATCATTTAGTGTTGGTCAAATTTGCATTGAAGTGCTTAAGTATGATCCCTATGGTGACAGTTTATGAACTTTAACCTACTTTGAGTGAATTGTCTGCGGCTGATGTGACCATCAGTGGTTCTGAAGGGAGACAACTCATCCCAGACACTGTACTGTGGTGGGCGTGTCTGATCTGACTTTGGAGCTTTTTCTCCTCCAAGTTCCAAAGAGCGATGTGGCCTACTGTACTTCCTGTTATCATGATAGGGTGACCATCTGAAACAAGAATTTTCTGCTGAATTTCTTATTTAATCCTCCCCATCCAGAACTCTCTTGAAAATGTGCATTCTTTTTTTCAAAAACAGCCTTGCTATCATAGATACAATTCAAGCTTCTATTTATGGTACATGATACGTATATTTACAAAGCTCACCTGGGCCAAATTATTCTGTAATGCAGAGTCTTTGCCAAACAAAGGATCAATAAGTGTAACACAAGGAGTGTTGAATAATTTACATTATTATATAGTTCCTATATAATCTATACAAGCGCAAACAGTTCATAACACTACATATTCACCGGATTTGAAATCGTATTCACCGGAGGGTCAGTGCGCGTGCAACGGCATTGTGACATCACAATCAACAGCTCAAACAACGTTGTAAACAATGGTCACAACGGCCAGAATCAGCTATGTGTCTGAACAGGGAAAATGTTACACAAATCTATCGCAGGATTATTTTCTAAACATTTCGATGTCTTACACTAAGCGAAACTCGGAAAGGAAAACGCAGAACTTACAACTTGTAAACTGGCCAATTTTTTTTTATTTTTCATCCACAGAAGTTTGTAAATGAAAATGGTGTCATCATGCAGCTTTCATTCTTATTTATTCAAATTTGAACTATATAATAAAACAATTATGGACTCTTTTGGTGGTGAATATGGTTTGTTATTAACCAGAAAAATATCAATATTGACCTCGGCTTCGCCTCAGTCAATATTGATATTTTTCTGGTGAATAACAAACCATATTCACCAAGAAAAGAGTCCATAATTGTATAATAGTTATTTAGATCATCATATTGTTTTTTGTCACACATCCAGAATAAAAAAGCTTCTGTAACAAAACTGCAGTGGCATACATCCTTATCTGCATCACACATGCAAGTCTGGTTCATTTCTGGCTTCTTATTACCTGGGAATGAACCTGCTATAAAAATATCAATTTGGCTTCAAATCTGGAAAATAAAGGTCTGATGGAGCATCCAAAGCAGGACTGGAAGTGTGAATCCCTGAAAGTATCATCAACCAAAGAATGGTCCAGGTAGGGCTTATAGTTACTTGAAAATGGATTTATTCTAATAACTTAAACCTGGTAACTCATCCAGAAAATATAGGTCAAATGCAGCATCCCAGGCATGACTGGAAGTTTGGTCCATGTTGAATTATAACTTCTGAAAATGGAACTGCTCCAAATACTTAAACTGGGCTGCCAACACTAAAGTTATACATAAGTTTTCAATTTTGTTTAAAGAGAGCAAGAATTATAATACAATTCCATTCAATCTATCGTTGTTTTCATAGCTGATTAATCTGTTTACCATTCTGCAATTGACTTAGGATTATGTGTCTCATGCTTCTAAATCCAAACCAACCTGTTCTGAAGGAGATGGCAGACACTGGTCCCCAATCCTGCTGGAAGTTCATGATGACTTCATCATACTTAATGTTGTGTAACACTGTCCTTCCATCACTCAGACCTACTGCAATTACATCAATGGCTGGAGACTTTAAAAAAAAAATAGGGTTGTGGTTTAATTCCTTGCAAAGGAATTTCAAGATATAGAATGGATAATACTTGGTCTACCGACCAACCAACAGACATACTGACCAACATACTGATCGACTCACAGGTGCAAAACAATATGCCCCCTTTTTTCAAGGGAGGCATAGAAGGAGGACAAAAGAGAATGTTAGATCCACACCTGTTGTAGGACTGTGACTGGAGATCCCCAGCCACTGAAGGAGTAGAGCATTTTGTCTTTGAGGATATTCCATAGTTGTAGTGTGCCTTGTTTGCTGCCCAGGACAATCTTGTTGAGGTATGTGCTGGGATGTACCATGGCTGTGATGTGAAAAGTGGAATTACTAAACTCCATCTCCAGGTACACCCCTGTAACAGATATCTCAATGTTATATACTTACATAACAGTAATATGAAAGCTGTATACTGACATCACCTGTAACAGGTATCTGTGTTAAATACCTAGGTAACAGTTATATAACAGCTGTATACTGACATCACCTGTAACAGATATCTCTGTGTTAAATACATGTACCTATATAACAGTTGTATAACAGCTGTATAGTGATATCACTCTTCTCTAACAATGTGACAATCCTAATCAAATATAACAACTTCTTAGTAAAGTGACAATCCCTGAAATGATGATCCCAAGTAACACTAAGGATTAAATACTTACCTCCATTTTCTACATCCCAGATCTTCAGATTGCTATGAATGTCAATAGAGATGAGATGGTTTCCAAATGGGAGAAGAAGATGAACCTCACATGAGTGACCCTCAAATGTGTGAACAAGCTATAAATCATAGTCAAGCTGGATATAAACATCATAAATCAACAACACAAAGAACTGTTGACAAATGGCGAAAATTTCCATGAGAAATCACTGAACACATTGTGATGATTTTCCTAGGATTTCCTTAAAGTGTGTAGATACCGGTACTTAACTTGAAGTGCTGTCCTAACTAATATTCTATGTTTAAGTTTTATACCTGTCTGCTTCTTTTGAAGGCTCGGACAACATTTCCACAACCAGTGAAAACATATCTGTTGTTTACAGCGATACATGTAATGTTGTCTGGATGGACATCACCTTAGCAATTATACAGATTTATTTACATTACACAGGAAAAAACATATAATGATATTTAAAGTAACATTCAAATCGACCTAATCAAAAAGCAACATCAACATTGTACAAACAACTGTTGAAGAACGAGACTTACTTATATTTGTTATTCCTAATCGGGAACACTGAAAAGGAAAAGGAAAAAATAAGAAGACTACATTTATAATTTGCTAAAGCTAAATACTACTGATGGTTATTTCATTTACAGGTGGGACCAAGCTTGCAAGGTCCACATCTGCTCAAAGACCGAGGGCAGGTACTTACCTATATTCAATACATATTTTAATTAAATATTTTAATACTAATACATTTTTCTTCCTTATATGAATGAATTTTCTCTGAATTTCTTGTCATAAACATCCTTACAACATAAGTAATGGATATTTGTGACCTTAAATTTATATGTATGTGATGACATTAAGAATGGAGAGACATGGTGGATCTTATTACCAGTAATATTCAATACATATTACAACAAAGTTTTAAGTCAATTATAGAAAGTGAGGTTATTCGAAATCAAAATCAATGAAAATTAAACTTTGAATGTACATAACAAATATCATGTAAATCTACTCTCAATCTGATATTCTTATTATTTAGCTCAGAAATGCCATGTATAACTTTAAGTTTTAGAGATTGTTCATCTACGGTATATAAACACACACAAAAAACAAAATCTTGATGCAAACATGACGTCCTGCTTTGAGGGACATTTATGTTGATACAGCAATGACCAATGGAATTTTTACATGAAGAAGATCAGGAAGATGATGTTTTACAAGCCTCTTTATTTTTTACTCTACCAATTTGAAATTGGTTGGTTAAAGATGCTATAAAACACAGTATTGTGACAAATATCAATTCTTATAAACTTACCAGTTACACACTCCAAAAATTTAACACATAAAAATTTGAAATATGACAGATAACAAAGTAACAAAAATAATTTACATGTAATCTGATTGGGAACATATATATATATTAATTATTTACATTGTAAGTGTGGAAAGATTTTCCCACGCTTGTTATGACGTAATTCTCTTTCAATCTCTTATTATATCGTGTTGCAAGAGGCACATGATCGCTCACAAACCCAAGAGCTCGATATCCTGAAAAAATTTTACTCCCAGTTGGCATCTTTTTGCAAGAAATTAAAAGGTAAACATTAACACGTGTTTCCTTTCAGAAGTGGTAGTCGCCATTTTGTTGTTAAGTTAAATATTTAATATTCGTTTTATAATTAATATAATTAAAATTTCCTGTTCTCCTTACCAAATGACTTATGTTCTGATTAGATTAATGAGATTATCATATTTAGCAAAATTTTGAATATTTTAACCAGCATTTCTGTATATGTGAAAGGTAAACGAAAGGATTGGAGTACGAATTCCTATAGTCTTCCCCGCCCTTGCACAACATCCGGTAATCTTTTCGCGTCAAATGTCAAACAACTGTCAAAGAAGCAGGATCGTTATTTTCCCGCAGAACGCTTTAAAATGAATTGCTGTCTTAAATGTTGCGGAAAAGAAATAAATATATCTGATGATTCGAGAGTCGAAGTAAAAACTGTTCTGCCATCTCGTTTCAATGGTGAAAACTTTCATGTTCTTTGGAACAAAAACGAAGAGGCCAAATTCCACTTGCCCTGTTGGAATCATCTCTTGAATGTAAGGACATCAGCCAATCGGAAAAATAGTACAAAGAAAAGACCTCACGAAACTCCAGACTCTATATCAAAACAAGAGAAGGCTCTGATCAGGGAAGCCAGAAAGACGGCCGAATTCTTCGATTCTGGGGAACAAATTAAAAAGGAGGCCAGTAGAGTAGCAGAAATGCTCAAGTCAGCAAAACACTGCGTGGTTTTTACTGGTTCATATTTTTTGTTTCACTCGTTTTCCTTTTTAACAATTTAAATAAAATATGTCCATTAACTCTCATAATTTCTTCCAAACTTTGAATTCTTCCTACTAAAGCTGTATATGAGTAGAAAGCAACAATTCTAATTATAAATTTGGGCTATATTGTAGGAGCTGGAATTTCCACTTCTGCTGGTATTGGGGACTACAGGGGCAAAAGTGGCAAGTGGACAGAAATGGATCATAACCAGGTGTCTGACAAAATAAATCAAATGTTTGATTCTCAGGGACCCTCCGCTAGTAAAAGGCCTTGTCTGCAGAACGAGTGTAGCGATGAAGGTATTTTTTGAAAATCTAAAAATAGATCATCAATGAGTGTAAAGTTAAAAAAATACCATATATAATAAAAGAAATAGTGCAATTTTAATTTGTAACAAGTAATTCAATCTTTCAGCTAAGTACTGTATACAGGGTTATTTTCGCCCCGGGTTATTTTCGCCCTTTCACACTTGCAAATTATTTGGCCCATTTTAAATTCGCCCAATCACAGTTCTGTTTAAGAATTTACACTGTGTTTTTTGAATTCACCCCGTTTTAAATTCACCCACCTTTGAGTAGGGCGAAAGGGGTGAAAATAAATCAGGGGCGAAAATTTCCCTGTATACAGTAATTTCATCTATCTCTCAGCTTATGGATGTATTGTAAAACAATAAGTTAAAGGCAACAATTTTGATAATGTAAGGCAATGAAAAACTTACAGAAGATGAAGATGAGATGGATGAAGATGGAGTTGATTATGAGAAGTTGCGACCAACATTCACTCACGAGGCATTGTGTCTTCTGATGGACAAGAAGCTGATAAAGCATGTGGTCAGTCAGAATGGGGATGGTCTTCACGGTCTGTCAGGTATTTCAAAGGAAAATCTCTCCGAACTCCATGGAAATGTATTTATAGAAAAATGTGAGAAATGTGGCCACAGATATGAACGTTCTTTCTACGTGATGGATGACGAAGGCAGCCAGTACTATGAAGATTTAGAGGATTTTGGAAAATCTTCTGTGAAGAAACCAAAGCATGCCAAACAGTGTGAGAGGTGTGGGTTATCCCATAGAACAGGAAGAAAGTGTGAACAAAAGGTATGAATTAAAAAAAGCTGTGAAGTATATAGCTTGTTCATAATCTTCATATAATGATTTTTATAATTGTGATATGTATATGAAAGCAAGTGACATAAAAGCAGCTTTGAATCAAGAAGGAATTGCATATCTAAATCTTCACATATGAATTAGGATAATAAAATGTATGGTTGAATATCTTGTTAGCTGGAGCAAGAAATCTTTTGTAAAGTTCTGGTGAATTAGAAATGTGTGTCATCGTCAGAACCCAAGGGTTTTCTCTCAATTACACTACATTCATTGAATGTAGTGTAACGGGGAGAAAACCCGTTGGTTCCGACAATGATCTTTACTCCATGTGACGTGTCTATGTGTAGATGGTACTGTGTGCAGTACAAATGTATTGTACTTTTGTACACCTCCTTCAAATATCTGAATTGATCTAGGGTTTAAAAAATTAATATTTAATTAAATATCATTATTTTTCTTCAAAATGCAAACTTATTGCACCAAGCATGAAGGGTCATTGTACTTCGTCAAGACTGTTGCTCCGTTTCATGATAAGACTATCTCTACACATCGTCGGAACCCATTGGTTTTCTCTCCGTTACACTACATTCAATTAAATCATTTTTGCAACATAATGCTTCAAAACTATTTCATGTCTATTATATTCTGCCTTCATTTTGAAGGACTGCACAGGATACCTTATGGATACAATCATTAACTTCAGGGACAACTTGGAGGAGGAGATACTGACTAGAGCGTTTGACCATGCTTACCAGTGTGACCTAATGATCTGTTTAGGCTCCACCCTCACTGTCACCCCAGCTAATGAACTGGTGGATGTCATTGAAAAACCACACCCTATTGTCATATGTAACAGGTCAGTACACTTTGTCAATGTACTTTGATACTAACAATATTAGGTTTGTAAAAGCAAGGGTAGGTTTTGAGAGAGAAAGAGAAAAGAAAAGAAAAACTTATTCAATGTTGCATATTTATTGTGCACACTGGTTTGAAAGCTGACATTCTGCATACTGTGTTGTTTTTGTTTGCTCTACATCAGGGTAAATCAATATTGATTATGGATTTTCAGACAGAAGACTGATTATGATGACGACTGCCTAAGAAAATGTCGAGGAGAACAACAGCCGAGGGGGGGTCGTGTTTATGGGGATTGTGACGAGTTTATGAGAGAGGTGCTGAAGAACATTATAGGGGAGAGGAGCTTAAAAGTTTGGGAGGAGGACCGGCCAAAGAGATTGATTAACTATGACAAATGTCGATCTAAGAATAATTAAGAGTTAACATCACCAAGAACTTCAATGAAAGGGGTGCAATTCTGTCATAAAAATTCTTAAATTGAGATGATATTTGTATATCAGTATACATATTAGCCAAAGTTCTGTGATATTTTAGATAGATTATCATGTTAACTCATTCTTTTTTTTCACTGTAAATAATTAAAACTTCAAACAAATGTTGGAAAAACATAATAAAATTTATGATGGTGTTGTCAAAAAATGAATTGAATTATATAATTAAAGATTAAAAGTAGATTTATATGCTTTGTATTTTTTGTTCAAATAAAAACAAAGCAAAGGAGACTTGAAAACAAGTGTTAATTTATACAGTATGATGAATTTAAAATCATGGAAACATCTACTGTGTAATGAATCTACTGTGTAATAAATCTGATGTAAACCTCATTATATTTTATAATACTGCGGGTATTATTTTTTAAAATAAAACGTTAATTCTAGTATGTTATTTTTTTAAATTTTTTGTATGGAATTCATTGTAAATATGTACTAGAAAATTAAATTTATGAAAGAAGACAAATGAAATATCCTTAGACCAGGGGTGTATAGTCGGGGAGGGGGTCCTATCCACAAGCACCTGTGGTCCGGTCAGATTATCTAATTGTGCCCTTGTGTTACAGAATATTTTTTCCTTGATGATCAGAGACAAAAGTGGGCAAGAAAAAAGATCACCTCCAACTCCAAAACTTTATTTATTTTGTGTGTGTGTGTGTGTGTGTGGAAGGGGCGGTCCGGAGTAATCAGTCAAGGACAGCTGATTCTTTATTTTCAACATTTTCAAGGACAGATTAATATTCATTTCCAAAATATTTTACTTTTGCGATTTCATAACATCTTAAGAAAATTTTACAAATTCTTAACTTAAGTGATCAAATTATGGAAAATTCAGTGAAAGGTTTATGGAAATATTAAAATTTACCTCACAATAACTGATGAGTTTTTATAAACAATGTAATTTTAATTTTTCAGTGTTCAAAATATTTATAGAGAAGAAATATTGAAGGATGACTCATTTACGGCCATAAACTGTACATCTGATAAACAATGGAATGAAAGACACTTTAGTGATGCATTGGATTTGTGCATGTGACCAGTAGACTTGGATGCTGGTGAGATTGATAAGTCGAATTGGTTAAAGGACGAGTTGTTTCATTATTGCATAAAGTTACGAACAGTTTAATGAATTCCTGTGACACCGGAAGAACACGTTTTTTTGACCTGATCTGATGGATGATTATTCAGAGGAGCTAGAGCCGTCTTTGCGCAACGTCATCGAGCAGCATTCCTTGAAATGGGTGTTTGTCGGTGGAAAAGGAGGAGTTGGGAAAACTACGACAAGGTAATTAATTGATTTAATGTACGCGTCTTTGGTTTATAGAATTAGTACAGATACTGACTACATGCATGCTGACCACTTATCCATGAATAAATTTTGTTTCAATTAGCTACAGTACATCTGAAGCATCTTCACATAGTAAAATTCATACGAGAAAATTTAAGTTTAACTCCAAAAATAATTATTCTTTGTTCAGAAAGTTTTGTGCTGACAAATCAGCTGGTAACATATAAATTTGGGGGGGGGGGGGGGAATCAGAGAATTAATTCACTATCGTATTTTAAATAAAGTCAAACAATTAAATGTCTCATTTTAAAAAGTTGCTTGGAGTGCAGACCTAATTCATTTACATCACTTGACATATAGAATAAGCATACTTACATTTAAATGTCACTGTCACATGTTTGACCTTTCACTTTATTTATGCATGGAAAATTAATTCAGCTTTAGATGGATTGATTCAAATAACCTATTCTCTTCGTCATTTTTTATATTATACAAAAGAGATGTAAGTAGTCAAATTGACAAAAGATTATGTCTACATCTTGTCTGGGATATGTTATTGCCACAAAATTGTATACATGTTTGTTTTTCTAGTACAATATAAAGTTTTCTTTTTACTCTTTCAGTCCTATATTTGCAGAATTGCTACAGAAATGTTATGAGAACTGAGGCTGAAATCTATTGATTTGAAAATACAAAGTACAAGAGACACAATGATACATATTTTAACAATATAGTAGACACAATCCAAAAAGAATCATCTTTACTTTCATATTTGCTACAAAGATGTAACATGGACAAAGCTTTTAGGATCAAAATATCGTAGAACATTGCCTTGATATATACCTGTAGTTGATAAATGTAAGAAGGTCAAAGATCAAGGTCAAAATAGTGATTGATCTGAGATATAAATTAAATTGATGCAATTTAAAAAAATGTTTTGATTAGTGATCTAATTTCTTTTGTTTGTTATTTTTTTTTTTTTTTGTTATTTATTTTTTTAATTAAGTTTTTTGTTTGAATTTTCTCCGTCTAATAGGTCACATAACACATAAATGCTAGATGGCAAATTAAAAGGTTAGTTATTTATTGTCAAGGTCAAAGCGTGACAGAGACATATATGTGCCACTGCTTGGGATTGAACCATTAACCTTTTGCATGCCAGTCCAGAGTTAATCCACTAGTCCATGTTAGTAGGAAGCTATGTATTACTGGTACATTCTATCACATTGTCTTCCTCCAGAGAAAGGGCTGTCCAAATCTCTTCTTGGGGCAGTCACTTTCATCCACAAGAGAATACCTGGGTGCCAACAAGTGTGTCCAATGAAACTCCATTGCTCTACTAATTGAACTACAGGGTTAACCCACTAACACAAGCTAGCAGGAACCTGTGCAGCACACACTACATGTACCACAAAAAACTGTGATGTTTATGTTTAGTGTTTGTACATCGCAGTGATTCAGGATTTTATTCTGGATATGATATAAAATGCAATTGAGTGTTTTGCTTGTAGACTTCAAGTCCTTGCTAGCTGTAAAAAATGATACTGGTAAAGAAATACACTCACCAAATTTGTAAGCTCTTAGGTATCCAATATATTCACATGAAAATTATCTTATGATTTATTACAGGTTTGCAAGATCATCAAATTTTGCTGAATGAAATTTAGCAATGCTGACTTGGTACCTTACACTTTTTGTAGTTGCTGTCTGGCCACACAGTTAGCCTTGGTTCGTGAGAGTGTTCTGATCATTTCAACAGATCCAGCACATAACATATCTGATGCCTTCAGTCAAAAGTTTTCAAAAGTACCTTCACTTGTAAAAGGGTTCACTAATTTGTATGCCATGGTAAGTTTTAATTCACAAAATTTAAACATTATTCTATATATTTATACTTTTATAGATTCAGTCAGAGCTTAAATTAGCTTTTCTGATCAAAGTTTCATCTATTTTCAGTCCATCATCAATCGTTCAAAGCATTGGCTACATTTTTAAAAAAAAAAAATTTGAGAAATTAGAGGACCAAAGACTTACAATATAATCAATCTGATAAACCTTTAAGAACATTTTCATAAGCTATAAAGCTGCATCAAAGATTAGGAATGTATCACCTTGTAGTTTTGATTCAACTAACTAAATTATGACTTGGGTCCTACAAATCTGTGTGAGTCTACGGTGTTTATGAATTTATCTCTCTCTTTAAGAGCAAGGCAGCTATGGTGAGCATTGTGGCTTATGGATCTTTTGTAATTTCTTGTAGGAAATAGACCCAAATCTTGGACTGGCAGAATTACCAGATGAGTATTTTGAACAAGGTAGGTTTGACTGAATTCCAGACAGAGTTAACTCTTTTTCTTAGTTCATTGCTCTCATATTGACATTAATATGAGGGTTTTTTTTTTTTTTCACTTTTTCTAGATGTGATGAGCATGGGGAAGTCAGTGGTTTCTGAGCTCCTCAGTGCTTTCCCAGGAATTGATGAAGCCATGAGTTTTGCTGAAGTCATGAAGTATGCTCTTTTACATTCTCGCAAATTAAATGTCTTCCAAAGAAATTTTAATGCAACATTTGTTATATACATGTATATGTAATTGTTATTGTTTTGAATTTGTAAACCCTCTTTGATTTATTTTAAAAAAGCATTTGATGATACAGTGAAAATGTTTTATAAATAATGCAGATTTTCTCTGTTTTGTCTCAAGCTAAAATAATTCATAGCTAATACTCTGATATTTTTTGCAGACTAGTAAAAGGCATGAACTTCTCTTGCGTGGTTTTTGACACCGCCCCCACTGGTCACACCCTCAGGTTATTGTCATTTCCCTCCATCATAGAAAAGGGACTAGGGAAAATCTTAAGACTGAAAAACAAAATTGGACCATTTATATCCCAGGTCAGCTCTAGGTTATACATGTACTTCATTTACATCCCTACTCAGTATTAAATCTTACTTCTTTCACATCCCAGGTCAGAATAAGTCATGCTTTATTAAATCTTTTGGTACCATAGTTTTTAGTCTGTTCATAATCTGGATCAGCTTTAATCTATTAGATGTCCTCTGTCTAGATAAGATGCAATGTACATTAAACTTAAAAATGAAGTATAAAAACAGTCTATGTCTTTACCATTCACATTAACAGATGGCTGGAGTTATGGGAATGCAAGACGTGAATGCTGATATGATGTCTACCAAATTGGATGACATGATGAACACAATTAAACAAGTTAACGAACAATTTAAAAATGCGGCAAGTTTTTCTTTATTTAATTATTTACATAGCACATAAAAATATTAAATATAAAAAACACATCCTTTTTATCAAGTACTATAGAGGCAAGAAAAACAATGTATAGTTTTAAATTTCTATCAGTCATGATATTACATGATTATTTACTATTTATTATATATGATATTACATGATTATTTACTATTTATTATATGTGTTGACAGGACCAAACAACCTTTGTGTGTGTGTGTATAGCAGAGTTTTTGTCCCTGTATGAGACAGAGCGCCTTGTTCAGGAACTGACTCAGTATGGCATTGACACACATAATATTGTTGTCAATCAACTTTTGTTTCTAAAACAAGGGGAGGAGCCATGTAAATTATGTAAAGCCAGGCACAGAATTCAAGCGAAATATTTGGACCAGGTATTTAAGCAGTTTATAAAGATAAGGAAGAATTATCTCCCTTTACTTTTATTCTTGACAAGGTTTCAATTTATTTAATTTTTAGTTCACTTGATCCAAAGGCTCATACGAGCTATTCTGATAGAAGATTTCAAGTATTTGTATATTTGTTTGTGTGCATGCGACCTCTGTAACTTTTCACACTTCATTGTTTTAGAGTTGGGGTAGGTTCAATCAATATTGCCACTGAGCATGTGCTGAAATGTTCAAATTTGGGGATGAGGGTAGAGATGGTGCTATTTTGACTGATTGTTTCAGTGTACTGAACGTTTCATTCAAGTATTTCACTGTCTGTTATACTACAGCTTTTACTTTTATCATTTTACTTTCGGAATACCTTTTATTTTATAGATTTGATTGTTTTCATATTCCTTATTCATTATAATATGAATTCAAATTAATCTTGTTGTAAAACAAAAAAGATTGGTGTAAAGTACTAACATAAAAAGACATTAATTTTAAAAATATGACTTATTTGAATACATAGAGTGCACCTGTCGATGCTGATTTACTGATTGGTCAAGGCAGGCTACAGATGTATATACTCATAAGGGTGTGAAAACAGAACAGATTAGTTTTCTCTGAAATACAACTAGTTTCCACTAAGAATGCACATATCGTGATACAAATATTTTAATTTTTCTTTTGCAGTTATGAATTCTATCTAGTAAAGTCATATTTCTGCAGATTGTATTGCATCATTTTGCATTGTCTGAATTACACACTGACACTATATTCAAGTATCAGTAACATGTAACTTTGGCCAATTTCTGTTCAGCTGATTTGCATCTTGATTCGTAAAAACGTAAGATATTTAATTAAACTTTCAGTTGTAAAAACTAATCTGATAAATGTCATACTCACTAACTTTCTTTAAAGATATTGTCAGAGGTGATAATGTCTCGTAAAGGCTATTAAATACTCTTTCGTAACTTCTCGGGTAATAAAGCCTCTTCCTGGATATAGTCATATTCCAGTAATCAACTTACACTCACGGAAATCAAATATTATCAACTCAAAACAGTATAAATGCATTTTGTTTCAGCATAAATTAGATGCACTTACACAAAAATAGATTATAAACAGAACATTTTCAGGTATTCATTATTGGTTGAAATTACCCAAGTTGTCGAAATTACACCACCCTACCCCAGAAAGGCTAAGAAGAGAGGAGTGGGGGTGCTCAATAGGGGGTCAAAGTTTTGGATTCATAATTATCTGCATATAGTGCAGATCCACTTGCCCCAATGTCAAGTGTGGTACCACATTATGGGGCCAAATTTTAACATAGGAAAATATAGAAAAAATAATCATTTAAAATCTCCTTCTCAAGAAGAGATTGGTGACAGTCAAAAATTAATATACATGTACAAACCCTGTCATATAGTGTAGATTAAAGATTGTCCATATTCTTGCCCCAGGGGTGAGGGTTGGGCCACAACTATGGAATGAGAGTGGGAAAATATATAGAAAATATAGGGCTCGAAATTGAAGCAAAAAGTAATTCAAGTAATAATCTGATTATTTTGTTCTCAGATTGCAGATTTATATGAAGATTTTAATGTCACAAAGCTCCCACTACAGGAAGAGGAAGTCAGAGGTGTAGACAAGATAAAGGACTTCTCTAAATACCTGATACAACCCTACAAACACTGTTAATATTTGGTTATATCAATAAAGTTATTGATGTTGTTTCTCACACTATTTATACAGTATTTATGATTGCTTATAGTTGTAGAAAAATGCCAGAATTTTTAAATGATTTACTGACCAATGCATATAGTAATCGACTCAGTTTGTTGTCATCTTCCTCAAAGTAACAATTACTTTATGGTTAAGAATACTTAGTGGTAAAGAATACTAAGTTGTATTGAGTAAAAGATTCATCTATCATTGCAATCTAATTAAAATTAGATGTTAGAATCTAAAACTCGCTATTAAATGTTAGATCTGCTCGCATACTTGCTACACTAATGTTGCGAGTATGCGAGTGGATCTAACATCTAATTTTCATTAGATTGCTATGATTATGGGATTGACATTGAAATGAAAGAGGCAATTGAAAGGGGAGGAGGGGGGGGGGTTATTTTAGAACATTATGTTCAATGTTCAAGCATTATGGCCAGATTGACAGTGCAATATTTACTTCGATCGTTTATTTTCAATATTCCTGTTTAACTATCCAAAACATCTAAAAACATATCAGTATATTGCCCAATTTGAAATTTATGTACGTCAAGTACTCTTAGAGAACCTTATACACAAACTTAATTAAGATTTGTTTAGTTGTAAATAAATTTTTATATATATATTAAATTAACACATGAAGGGTTGATCCACAATGTTTCTGTCATAAGGAACTGCATATATTAGTCTGCTGTACTTTTGCCACCTAATGAAGATTGTACTATTTCTTTTAACAAATGAAAATTTAAAAGAAAAATGGAATAAAATGTGGTTATTATGAAAAAATTATAATAAAAAAATATAAAATGACAAAGTTCTTTCTTTATTTTGCTCACTTTTTTATACATATGCTTTCATAAATCAAAGAAAACCAAAAATTTTGGAAATCACTGAAAATGTACCAATTAAGAGCCAAAAAAGTATGGAAATCTTTCTAAATACCGGTAATGTGAAAAAAAATGTTGATAATTCAAATCTGTAGATGTGGAGATAAAATCTTAAAGTCTTACATTTTGTCACCCTGAATTTTCCATGAATTTAGCTAATCTTATGAAAGTTGATTTTTGCAATGTACGTAGAACTAAAATCTTGAACAATTGGACAGCCTAGCATGATAGAAGAATTAAGCTAGTTCATATAAGAAATGTCTTGATATCAATCACCTGAAGATTTTATTCCCAATATATTGCATTATGAAAGATTTGTTCCCCAATTTTGACATAACCCTAACCCAAGAGTCAGTAATTTTAAAAAAATTGAATTTTCACTACTTGGGAGCCCTTGAATGTAAATTTTGATTTCAGGACACCCTTACAACTTCTTTGTAGGAACTTTACCCAGTGATTCTATTGTGGATCTTGAGAAAAAGACTTAAAGATTTCATTTTTTTCCCCCTACATATTCCCATGTAAAATTTATCTTATTGTGGCCCCACCCTACCTTCAGCTAGGGGCCATGAGAACAATTAAGAATTCACATTGTATCAGGAATCTTACACAATTGAGTTTAATTTATCCTTTCTGGCCCTAAGTATTCAGTGAGAAGATGACCTTTTCCTCAATATTCCAATGAAAGACTTTGATCCCCTGTTGTGGCCCCACCCTTTCCCTCAGGGGGCCATGGCTTGAGCAATTTAGAATCAAACTATATTAGAAACTTTCATATAAGTTTCAGTTTTTCTGGACCAGTGATTCTAACGAGATGATTTTAAAGATAGTGCTTTTCCTATATATTCCCATGTAAAACTTGGATCCCCTATTAATGTGGCCCCAATTCCTACCCCCAGGAACCATGGTTTGAACAATTAAGAATAAATTTACTTTATCAGAAAGCTTACAAGTCATTTTTTTCTGGCCCATTGGTTCTTGAGATTTTTAGCTCTACTGGTCAGAGACCAGAAGAGCTAGTTTATGCAATAGTAAGGTGTTCGTCATCCATATTTCTGTCTGTAAATATTACTCCTCCTACAGTTTTGGTCCGATTTCAATATAATTTGGCACAGAATTTCTTTGAAATACATGTACTTTCAAAATGCTAGTCCTCCTACAGTTTAAGTTTGATTTCTATACATGTATAATTTAGCACCTAAGTAAACTACACTTAGACCCCAATAAATGTCTTTATCGTTTTTGATTTTGATGAGTGATTTTGCCATGGTTACCGGTACTAAAAAGAAATTTCTGTAATTTTTTTTCTAAAAGCTACTCCTCCTACAGTTTTAGTCTGATAGCAACAAATCTTGTCACAGAAAGAGACCCAGACAAGGATCATTATTCTATTTATTGCTGATGCAAAGTTTCAAGTGCCTCTTTGCTCTTCCTTTGTTTAGTACAAACCAGAGGAGCTACAGTCTGACATAATTATCCCATCCTTTTTTAGATTATCTTGGAAGGGGGCTTGCACCTTCAATTGAACAATTCTGAATTCCCTTTATGCTAGGATGCTTTATGCCATCTTTGGTTAAAACTGACCACGATTCACTACCTGAGGATGCTTGCTATCAGTATGACTAATCATTGCCCTCGCTGCTGTTCCCAAGATTGTCCCCCAATTTTAATGTTAAAATTTGATCTCCCATTGTGGCCCCACCTTACCCCTGGGGGCCATGATTTGAACAAACTTGAATTTACACTACCTGAGGATACTTGCATATTAATTTGACTTATCAAGGCCCTGCTGTTCATGAGAAGACAATGTTTAAGATGTTTATATGTATTCCCATGTAAATTGTATTATTATCCTTGTAGCCCCACCCTCTCCTCAGGGGCATGGTGTTAACAAAATTAAATCTCCCCTATGTCAGGAAGCTTTCATATAAATTTTCTTTTCTTGCCCAGTGGTTATTGAGATTTTAACACACCCGTCCTAGCTTGGCCTTTTCTTGATTACCTCCCTTAAGATGGTGTAGCTCTTTATTTGTACAAACTAAAATCCCCTTCAAGAATGCAATGCAGAAAATTTAAAGCAAATTCACATTAAACAAATTTACTCGTTGTACACTCAAGAAATGTTTTATAACAACTTCAACATGACACTTATTAATAGGACAAATAGAAGTCCAAAAATGTGTTCTTAATGATTCTTAATCTTGACATCTTGGTGTATATTTGGGCACCTATTCGTTTTAATTTAAATGTGTAAACTGTTGTCGAAATATTTTCACCATTAAAAAGCATCTGACTGCCCCAGCTTTATAACTGATAAAAACAAAGTATGGTGAAAACTGGAAGATTCATCTTTCAAATTGTACATCGTAATTATGAGGTCAAAAATTGCAAAATATTTCTTTTAAATCTGAAGAATAGGCAGGTCTAGCACCACAACCTACAAACTGAAGATGTAAAAATAGAAATTGCATGATTTAGAACGGTGCTCCTATTATCCTCTAATTTCCTGCTTCTGAAGTCTGAATTAAAAACACACAATAAATTTACATCTATTTAATAATCAATCATGTATACATTCCAAAGAATAATCTTTACAGAAATTCAATCATTTAAAAATTCAGAGATCACCTTACAATTTTAATCATAAATATATGTTTAAATTTTTGTAAAATGTACAGCAGTGGATACTCGACGAGGATTTATAGAATATATATATAAATGCAAGAGAGATAAAGCAACAGTTAAACTGTCATAATATTGAAACATGATTAATATCTTGTTAGATAAAGAAAATTAATCAGGTTAAAAATCTATAAAACAAAAAAGCATACTTGATCACAAAATATCCATCCCAATTAACATTAACTTCTAATCACAATGTACTAAGCACATATTGTATTGTCCACGCACAACAGTTGTCCAAATGTGGTGGTGGTGGTGGGGAAATTTCAATTTACAAGTATGGTTTCAAAATTTACGGATAGCAGCATGTCAAAGTTTTCCCCCCTTTATGAACCTTCTGCTTTCAATACCTTACATACCCTTAACAAACAAATCACTATACACTGTTGCTCATGTGGTGACAGGTAATGAATTTTCCCAAGACTTTCAAGAACTGAAAAGCAAATAGAACCACCTGAAAGGTTATTCTGACCAGTGAACTTACTGTGCGTGGACAATTGAAAAATAAGAAGCAAACATATATTGCATCAAAATGGCACTAGACCACATAACAAGGTACATCTCCACAAATAACTGGAGGAATAGTGGTTTATAATACATGTACAGGCAGTATTTTTCACTACAAAAACATAATGAAGGACAAACTAGAGAACCAATGAACACAGATGGCTTTATTTTTTTTTTCGGCCAATACATGCAGGCATACAGATGTGCACAATTTCCGATCTGTCTATTGCACAACCTTAATATTTACTTTACTTCATAATACAGGCTGGTATTCAGTTTGAGTCTTAACATTGTGACAAAGTATTAATAATGAAAATGTAGACTTGAAATTGTTAGTTGGTATATATTTACATTTGAACATGGAATGAGCATGTAATGATGCAAATCAATCAAAAAATACAAAGAACATGTATAGGTCCGACTTGCTACACTGAGGAGTTGGAGGAATCAGTAGTCTCGCTGCCGGACTCTTTAGGAATCTGGTTCAGTGCCACATCAACCAGCATGAAAAAGGATTTAAAGAGGTCCGCATTCTGGGGAGTGCTGGACGGAGAGGAGGGTGGTGAAAGGTTCTCCTGGGAAAAACTTTCTCCTCTGGTTCTGGACTGGCTAACATCTGGGGAAGCAGATTCTGGCTCTGAGGAAAAGTCACTGGAGGAGGCCTCACAGTCAGACATGTAGCCATCTGGCTCTCCCATCTTCGACTCCAAGGGACTCTCTGTACTGTAACCACCTGACGTGAAGGTGACACGGTCTAACAGTGACTGCTTATGCTTGCGGGTGATGGTGTACTGGAGGGGATCCTGACCATCTTTCTTGATCATTTCTGGTAAAATTCTACGACGAGCATTAATGAACCAGTTACACACTTGCAGTACAGTCAGATTAGTGGCCGAGGAGAGATACACCTTTTCCTGGTCTGATGGGTACGCATTATAGCGGTGCTCATAAAGCCAGGTCTTCAGGATGCGGACAGCTTCTTTAGGTAGATTTCCACGTCTACGTCTTGCATCACTCAAGCCATCATCATCTTTCCTGGAGTCAGAGTCATAATCGTTTTCCCATGGCCTGGCAAATTTGAAGTCTCTTACTACAAAACAAAACCAAGGATATGTGTTTTATAAAATAACAAATTTGATGCAACATATAACTTAATGTAAAATTATATGCACAATATCATAATAGGGTAAATATCAGACTAGCAATTAATAGATAATTTGCAGTTTTCATCTATCATAGCAAGACCCCCTCCCCCAATTTATAATAAACATGCATGATTCTAAAAGGTGCGAGTGGCTTACAGACCCCCCTTGGACTTTCATATTTGTGAAATTGATATAAAATTAACAAAAATGACCTTGGGCCCCTTGAGAAACATACACTCCTCATAAGTTGGTACAAGGAGTAACATTAAACAATAAACAATCATGTATGTGATGAAAAACAGCTTGTCTACCCCCCCCCCCTTTCCTCTTAAAAAGTTACCTTTTACTTTTCTTCCTTTCTCTCTCTCAAAAAAATTGTAAGGTGGATAAGTTCGACTTTCTTAGCAAGTTTGTACCCCCCCCCCCCCCTTTGGAAAATTCATGGATCCACCCCCGATATCCAGAATATTAACTTAACAAATTTTGATCTATTTTAACATGATATATCTATTAATTTACTAATTTTACGAGTATATTTACAAACTATTAGTTAATGATAACTTTTTATGCTCAATTATCAATGTCCAAGATATGTTTAGGCTATAGGTAATCAATCAGGTGGCCTTGACACATTTAAAAACAAAAACATCACAAACACTATCAAATCTCATTGTCATTTGGATAATTATAGATTGCATTTTTCAATTTCAATAATTAATGGTAAGCTGCTTGATATGTTATTGTACAGGTGTCAACTCACGGTCAACAACATTGACAGATGTACTATTTATTCAACCAATGCTGCAAACACCGCTTTAGAAACCAGAAATAAACCATAATCACATTCAAAAACATGTCATTTATCATTTTAAAACAATTTGTTGCAGAAGCACAAGATTAATATTTACTCAATGCGTTGTTGTGATGTCGATTTCTTTGTTGTACAAGACTTGAGCACGTGGTGTCAACGATTTTTGATAAAGAATCGAACAACAAGACCCGACAAACATGCATTCCTATTTAAAACTAAACATATACATACCTCGTCTCATTTTAAGTGATTCTGACATAGTGATAGTCCTTATTCTTTGAAAAAATTGGAAATGTACTTCTCACTCTTTTCAAAACTGTCAATTTCCTCTCCACCACGCGGGATCTGACAAACCGCGCAAACCACGTGCCAATCGCTTGGGTTCGGCGTTGATTGGTCTAAATTTGAATTCTTGAAATTTGATTGGTCGGATAAACTTTGACAGCTCAAACGGGCGCGAGAATATTGCTGCCATGTGTCACCTGTTGTAATCAAATCGAGGATCAAGAAGATTGTTTCTTTTTGTTCACAGTTTCTAGAAATTACGAAAAAGTTGGTTTACACAGACCGTAACTAAGCATTAAAACCACTATAGAAAGTTTATAAAACCAAAGAAAGCATGTGAATCGTATGGCAAAAGAAATATTACAAAATATCTGTTAATAATTAAAATACATGAAGATGAACGTTTTAATGCTAAGTTCCTTCATAAATCTGACAAATTAAGTTTTACATATCTTAATTAATGATGTTAATGAGTATGAAAACGTTATTAGTATTAAATATCACTATTCCTTTTCCATATCTTAATGCACTTGAATAATTTTATCAGTTGATCATCTGTTGATTGACATGGTACTGAAAACCACCAGTCTGTCACTTATTTTCAAACGTTTTCCCAACGTTTAAAAAAAAATGCGTCGAACCTTGAGGTAGAGTTGTGTTCCTTATTGATAAAAATTTAAAGGAAAATCTGTTTTCCAGAAGTTTTCTAAACTATTTAAAAAAAAATGAAACTTCCACCCACCTTGTCTGATCTAAGTAAAAAAAATTTGTGTCGCATGAAAATACATTTAAATTCCATTGATACTTGGATATTTGTTGCAAGTGAAGTCTTTTTAATTGGTATATTCATTTCGAGTATCATCGAATAATTTAGACACGAGTTATCGAAAATTTCAAGCGATGATCGAACCCGATCAAAATATATTCGGCAGACGTCGGTAAACACGGGACACGTTGATTATAAATGATAGAAAAGAAAAGTATTACCATACTGATAGATAAGAATTATATTTTTTAAGTTAAAAAAGTGGAAGTTTTCCTTATCACAATTCAAATGGAACTGGAATAATCCTCATTTTTATTACTTCAATATTTTCTTGAAAATCTATCAGTACACGGACTCACTTTCCTTTAATTTATTTACAGATTTATAGTGCTTTTTATTTTTATATGTCATTGCATGTCTAATTGACAGTTTCACAGAAAATGTAATAAGCATTAATGTGCAGCATGTACACTGAAAGTACATATACATATATGGCTCTGAGCCTCTTCCCCTTTTCCGTTATCCCCACCCTCTTTTTTTTTTCTCTCTCTCTCTCTCTTTCCTTTCATTATTCCACCTTATTGTTCAATTCCCCTCTTTTTTCAATTTTGTACATTGTATCCTCCTTAAAAATTAGTCTAAAATACATGTCTTTGCAAAAGTTATGATATATATTATTGTAACATTTCATGATTTGTACCTTGATCTTTAATGGAGAGAACTTATATAGGCCATTTTGCCTGCTGTTCAATCCATATTCATTGTATATACATTTATGTATATCATGAATAAAATACTTCTTAAACTAAACAGAACGCTAATGGCAGTATGGAGTTGCTGGATTTTTACCACTGTTGTGATTTGGTTTGCGGTCTTTCTCACTTGCTTCATGCCAATAAGGAAGGAATCGGTAGAATTTTCCTTAACAGATCATGTAGAGCAGAAGACAGAAGATCTTGTCCCTGGTACTCCTGGACTGAGTCGTCAATACAACAAAACTGTTATGATACTCATTGATGCCCTCCGAGCTGACTTTGTTATGGCACCTGACACACCCATGACAAAGACAAAGGAGCTTATTTCCAAAAATGTGGCTTTTGTGGCAAAGGCTCACACTCCAACTGTGACTTTGCCAAGGATCAAGGTTAATAAAATAAACAAAGATAAAAATTTAAGCAAAAATCTTATTAACTATATATGCTTTATGGTAATTTTATATCATTTGAGTCACTCGTGTGACCCATTGCTATCTGTACCATTGCTGTGCATCATCTGTAAACTAGTTTCTTGTATTAACAGCTAAACCAATTTTGACCAATGGCATTTAACAAAAAGTTTGTCATACATTGAAAATGCATTACATTTTTTGAAAATCTTTTTTTTTTTTGACTTCTGGAAATCTGGCTGGCAAATATTTACACGCATGAGATAATGAGCATCAACTCCCACCACCACCACCAAAATTGTGAAATTAAGGACTCTGGTAGCAGGGCCAGACCACAGGGTTGATCATAGAATGGGAATGCATGAAGTCTTCAGATTTTTCTCTTTTTTTTTTATATCTATTAAACAAACTGATCACATCATCTAGTTGGATCTAACCTACCACAGAAGTTATATGAAGCCTAAATTGCTTAGAAAGATTCATCCATGTCATTTGCCTTCATTTAACTCTAATTAATGAAACAATTTTATCATATTTTCATGTAAGGTACTTATTTACATGAAAAGTACTCTCCCTCTTCAAATTGTTTACAAACTTTATTATTAATTCTTCCCCTTCTTCTTTATTTGTGTATGACAGTTTGTTTACTCTATTTTTTGTCTTTCTTTTCTGTATAATGAGGGAAATTTCCTTTTGTGTTGTCCAGTTTGGACTGTGAATTAGAAAGGAATATATGTTCTATTCTAAATGTAATTGAAGGCATATATCCAAACTCTGTGCAAGAGAAGCCAACATCTGATGTTCTGGTCAGCTTAACTGTCCATCAGAAACCTTGATATTCGTCATCAAAAATCCACAGTCGCTCTTGCTTTGCTCTCACTGAGAAGCGAGACTGTCTGTGGGTTTTTACTTGGATAGTGATTACTTGGAAATGGAGAAAAATCAGATGCTCATATTTTCATACGAGACTTATTGGTCATTTTTGTTTCTTTATTTGTTAAAAAAAAAAACAAAACCAACCTTTCAAATGCACAAAACATTTGTTAATATATGAAACTTGATTTTTTAGGCACTTGTAACTGGAAGTGTCCCTGGATTTGTTGATGTTATTCTGAACTTTGGTTCAACAAAGTATGAAGGAGACAGCATTTTGGCCCAGCTGAGTCGGGCTGGTAGAAGAGTTGTATTTTACGGAGATGACACTTGGATTAAGCTATTTTCAGACCAGTTTACTCGATTTGAAGGCACCACCTCCTTCTTTGTCACTGATTACACAGAGGTAATATGTCTGGTCTGTTATTATGATGAAATGGTAAACTTCTATATACAGTATATATAGTATACAGTATATCCACACAAAAAAATCTACAGAAAACATTGATAGAGGTATTGTTAATTAATGAATGTAGCACATATTAAACTTCCTAGACCTAAAGTCAAATTTTGAAGTTTGGATTTAGTACTTCAGCACTTTTGACCTAAATTTTTTAGTCATGATTGTAAATCAGTTAGTCCTCCACTAAACCTTTTACCCTGTATACAGGTTGACAATAATGTGACTCGACATCTCCCGTCAGAGCTCTCTTCAGTGGACTTCGATCTAATGATTTTACACTATCTTGGATTAGACCATATTGGTCACATGGCTGGACCCAGCAGTCCTTTAGTTCCTCCAAAACTCCGAGAAATGGATGACATCATAAGCATGGTCTACCAATCACTGATAAAGGTAGGATGGGATCTTAGTCCTGACAGGTAATTTTCAACCTGCTAAAAGTGAGGAAGAGAGAGGGTGAGAGAAAAAAATCTGAGTATTTGGAAGTACTTTCAGTGACTCTATATGATTGAGTTGTGTTTCACAGTTGCAGGGTGAAGGACTCCCAAATCTGCTGATTGTGTGTGGAGACCATGGCATGAGTGACCAGGGGAGCCATGGAGGGGCATCTTATAGTGAGACAAGGGTTCCCCTAGTGTTCCTCTCCACCAGTGGTATTCCCAGTACAGGTAACATATTCTTAGTTCAGGTAACATATTCACTGTACTGGTACAGATAACATATGTCTTCTCTGTATTGTTAAAATATTTCTGATATAAGGAAGACACTTCCTGTACAGGTAGATATTCTCTCTGCAGGTAGGTCATTTTCAGAGCAGGAATGATACGGCATTCACAATGAAAGTGAGTAAGGAATCCCAGTACTTTAAAACATAAATATCTGTAAATTTATGGTTACAAATTTAATATTTTGAAATTAACAATATGTATTTTAAAAATAAGTTAATAATTGATGTCTCCCTCTAGATTTAAAGCCACACTACATATATTTCAAGATTATATTTGGATTGTTGTTTAATTAAAGTAATACTTTTCTCCCTTTAAAATTATCATAATTAGGATTCCATGTTACAGATGATACCAAACCTGAAGTAGATCAGATTGACCTTGTCCCGACCTTGTCTGAATTGTTGGGTCTGCCCATTCCTCAGAACAGCCTGGGACACCTACTCCTCGATGTGTTTGAGGAGCGAGGACCTGAGGAACAGTTAGCCTCACTTCTGAGGAACACCATTCAGCTCCTTAACTTACTGAACAACAACATACAGGACACTGATACAGGTAACTGTTTAGCATGAATTTATGAATTATGAAAATTCTTAAAGGGGAGATTTAAACTTAATAGACAATTTTATGTTTAAGAACTAGCAACCTTGTTCAAAATGACATGTGAACTTCATTCTGAATGGACATCACTGAGTTCTAAGGAGAGAAAAACGGTTTCCTTTCAACAACTAAAAGCTCAGTACAATGATATCATCACTATGGCAACTAGAAGGATCACGAAGAAACTAACAACTTACGATATGCCAGCCCTGATTACTTGTGTCATTTGCTTGTGGATGGTAGGTGCAGATTTTCATAGTTTAGTTTAGGTACTTAATGTTTTATAGCCTGAAAGTTCATCCCTTTTATATACTGTATTAATAAGACAGTAATAAGACTTGTGTCACCAAAATAAAAGCAATCATGACAGGACATGGGATTATATTTTGTTTTTTAGCTCTACTGGTCAGAGACCAGAGGAGCTTATGTGTTAGTAAGGTGTTCATCATCTGTTTATCTGTCTGTCTGTCTGTAATCAATTTTTCAAAATGCTAGCTACTCCTCCTTCAGTTTTGGTCTGACTTCAATATAACTTGGCACACAAGTGGAATACACTAAGCTATATAGTTCTATATATCCGTTTTTGATTTTGATGAACAGTGTTGCCATGGTAACTAAAAACAGAAATTTCTTTTAACTAATTTCAAAACGTTACTCCTCCTACAGTTTTGGTCTGACTTTAATATGACTTGGCACTCAAGTAGAATACACTAAGATACATAATTCTTTTGTCGATTTTAGATTTCAATGAACAATGTTGCCATGGTTACTAAAAAACAGAAATTTCTGTGAAGTACCTTAAAAATGCTACTCCCTCTACAGTTTTTAGTCTGATTTCAGTGTGACTTGGCACACAAATAGACTACACTAAGATGCTTAATTCTTTTTATCAGTTTTTGATTTCGATGAATGGTGGTGCCAGGTTACTAAAAATAAACATTTCTGTAAAATACTTTTAAAATGCTACTCCTACAGTTTTGGTCAGATTTCACCGTCAACTCCACTGCACCAACCCTTGGCTGAGTTAGCCCAATTTTTCAGAACTCACACTGACGAATTTGATTTGTTATGAGCGAAGTTGCTCGCAAGGGTTTTACTAAAATCTGCAGTCACTAACCTCTAGAGGAAACAAGGACAGTTCAAAGTTCAGATTGAGAGGAGTGGAGTGGATCGTAAACCCTTGGCTAGCGAAGTTGCTTACCAAATTGCTATTACACCATACTGTATATTAATGACTGGTAAAGATGTTAAACATTAGTATTCTATATTTTTAAGAAATGTTTTTACAGGCATTGGTTCTTCTTGTCATGAGTAGATTGAGACCCACTAGTTGCCTGGTTGTAATACATGTATCCTCGACGCTATACCTGGTTTATCACCTGTCTGGGTCAAAGTCAGAGGGGCAGTCCCTCACCCCTCTACACTTCATCTCTGTGACAGCCCTAACCATTGTTGTAGCAATGACTGCACTTACAAATAGACATACAATAACTGGTGTATGTATACAATTATATCAAGTATGCATAAAGAGTTTACTGTAAGTTACAAATATTTCAATTAGAATTCAATTGTACCACTTTATGCTCATGCTGGACATCAAGGATTTTTTTTTCTGGCAAATTTTTGTCTGATGGTCATAATCATACTTTTATATGAAGGTCAGACCTCAGGTAACACATTGGATCATTACTTGCAATTGATAGAACTAATTAGTTTTACTAGCTACAATTTCTGCTTAATTTAAAAATTCTGAAAAGACTTTGTATATTCTATGCATAAAAGCTATAGTAAACAATAGTTGATTGTGATTTTTGCAGCTGTCTGAGTGGATGATGACATTATTGTGTCAAGGTACACCTGGATGTTTTTGTGTGGGTCTGTTGACAGCTGGGACATTTCTCCACACCGTCAGCTTACTCTCCAGCAGTTACGTGGAGGAAGAACACCAGACCTGGTACTTCCTCTCCACCTCCATTCACATCCTCCATTTTATTTCACAACTCTCCACCTCAGATCCACTGCCACATAGTCGAAACACTCATTGCCATTTAACATCATCTACCTCTGAAAATTATTCCTGTATCAGACCTCACAGACAGTTTATCCAAATCAGACGGATGATACTTGAAACCTTTGTGCTCATGTTGGCAGCAAGGATATCAAGGTCAATGAACCAGACAGGAAACAAGTGGCTCCACTTGCCAGACACAGGAGACTGGCTTAAACTGTGAGAACCATTTGCTTCACTATTGGTTTTTGTCCTTTATATTATATAAACCCTGTTTGATGATTTTAAACCAACTTAATGACAAAGGCAGGACAATCCGTGTCTCTGTAAGACTTTTAAGATGTCGTAAATAGTTTAAAAAGTATACAAACAGATGTCTTTCTGAATCTCAACTGAGAGGTGACAGCTGATTTTCTGGATCAATGAAACATTCAGCTAATGTAATTAATACAATCAAAATATTCACTCCACATAACAATTACGATTTAGACATATTAGGATATAGTTTTGACCAAAGTTGATCTGCCAACTTCTATTTCAATTTACAAAATGATCAAACTCTTTGAGCTCATTACCAAAAAATCTTTGGCTGTGATCTTGCCACACAGATCCATGATTGCAGATGACCTTAATTGCTTAGCTATAGCTTATAGCTAAGCACCACCTCAAGTGAACTCAGAATATTTCTTCAAAAACATGCCAAGAAGTGTGAGTTTCATCTTTCTGTAATCATGCTTTTAATACATGTACTGACATTCATTTTCAGAGAAGACAACAAAACTCTCCTGTCCATTCTAGTAGCAGGTGCCCTCCTCCTTATTCTAGTCATAAAGTCACGGCAGTTGTCATGGTTACAAACCGGTATCACTGTATTAGGCATGTTTTGCGTTTTCTGGTTCAGAGCTTCCACTGGTGCCCTTATTCTGCCTGGAATACCTCCAATAGACAAGTAGTTATTGTTAAATCATACTTTATTTCAGCATTGATGATAGAATCATTTAAATTAAGGAAATATAATTTAAACAGATTTAATCTGCCTTTTAATTTATATGTTTGAAATACATGAATAGAGACTTTCAAAAAATTTGTTTTGTGTTTGCTGTCTTTCCATTAATTAACTATTGTTACCTCTGTTACAGTGGAATACTCCCAGCTAGGTTAGGCTTCCTTTGTATAGTGATTCTATTAATAAGTCAGTCCTTCCCTACCAAATCCTCAAGGATCACCACTGGATGGACAGAAATCTGTCTGACCACATGGACACTCCTCCATCTCACATTATTGAGGCCACATAACATTATACTGGTGGCCTTAATGACAGTCCAACAGGCTATACTCCATCAGAGTAAACTGGTTCTGTCTTCCTCTGCTGCAGCTGTGTACTATTTATGGATGGGAAGGGCAGCTTTTTTCTTACAGGTAAATAGATCAAAAATCACAGAGTTATAAATAGATCTTCACTGAGAGTAAAGACTACAGAGTTATAAATAGCTTGTAGATGAGAGTAAAGACCACAGTTATAAGACTAAGTAGACCTTAGCTGAGAGTAAAGACCACAGTTATAAGACTAAGTAGACCTTAGCTGAGAGTAAAGACCACAGTTATAAGACAAAGTAGACCTTAGCTGAGAGTAAAGACCACAGTTATAAGACTAAGTAGACCTTAGATGAGAGTAAAGACCACAGTTATAAGACTAAGTAGACCTTAGCTGAGAGTAAAGACCACAGTTATAAGACTAAGTAGACCTTAGCTGAGAGTAAAGACCACAGTTATAAGACTAAGTAGACCTTAGATGAGAGTAAAGACCACAGTTATAAGACTAAGTAGACCTTAGCTGAGAGTAAAGACCACAGTTATAAGACTAAGTAGACCTTAGATGAGAGTAAAGACCACAGTTATAAGACTAAGTAGACCTTAGCTGAGAGTAAAGACCACAGTTATAAGACTAAGTAGACCTTAGCTGAGACCACAGTAATAAAGGGCTGAAAATTCTGATAAACAAGATTGGTCTTATACTACTAGGGTTAAATGTGTCAGTAGTATAGTAATAGTATTGTATTAATAATCTTCTATGCTATTTTCAGGGTAATTCTAACAGTATAGCCACAGTGGATGTTGGGGCAGGTTATGTCGGCCTGCGGGATTATGATGCAGTCCCTATAGCCATCCTACTGAGCCTTGCTACATATGCTGGTCCTATTTACTGGTTCCTTGCCTTCTTAGCAAAACTCAACTCATTCAAGCTGAGTAAAAGGTAAAATCTTTCTGCATAGTCATGGCTAAGAGAAGACATAAAATGTTCTGTTGTAAATTTATATACACATGTTAATCTGTACAAAATTATAGTCATCTGTAAATAGCACTGAAACAAAAACAATGAAAGGTTTTGGTTATTATCTGGTGTTTGCAACTGAAATACTGTTTACAGGGAAATTTTCACCCCATTTTATGTCCACCCATTTTGCTCTTATCCTCAGTGGGTGAATTTAGAATAAGGTGAATCCAGAGACAGAGTTATCTCTCTTCTATTAACTATGTCTGGTTGAAAACAGGGCAAAATCATTTGCAAGTGTGATAGGGTCAAAATAACCCAAGGCTAAATTAACCCTGTACCATAAGACTTGGTTACAGCAAAGTCCTCGGAACCTGTGAATTTACTTCGCTATATCCGTAATTCGTAATCCGTATAATGAATTCGTTAAAGTATTTTTAACAAATTCGCAATATACTTTTTTTCCCTTCAAATATGACTACCAAATATCATCTGGGAGGTATTAAATTCAAAATTTTCCTTAGGGTACTAAAGTTTTTTGATTAATTGAATTTCAAATATAAATACTGATGAAAAATAATGTCAGATAAATATTTGAATTTCAAGATATTGAAAATTCATTATGAAAGATGTAATATTCGTTGTTTTTTAACCTCTATGGGACACAAAACCAGTTTGCTCTATCCGTAAATTCGTTATTTCAGAGTTCATTATAACCATAAAATTTTCCTAGGATTTGTTATGAATTTTGTTGGGGATTCCAAAAAAACTTTGCTATATCCATGAATTCACTATACATGTATCTGTGTTCGTACTAAATAAGTTTTACTGTATACAGGAATTTTATGAACATGATTAAAATTTTAAGAAAATTTGTTGAGAATGTCGATCTATTGGCAGAGATCTACGTGATGTTTACTACACAGTGGTACTGACCTGTGGTTTCCCTGTGGTGGTGTACTCAGGGTTTGTGGTGATAGAGCGGTACCACCTGTTTGTTTGGACAGTCTTCCTCCCTAAGCTCCTGTACTTTGGAATGGATCTGGTGATCTACAGTTCCCTGTCCCTTACTCTGTTGTTTTTGTACTATTTACAGACATATAGTCAACCGGGATAAAAGTTGTACGAAATGTTCATGCTGGATTTTGTCAACCGGGGGTAATTCGTCTTTTTAGAATTTAACCTATTAAAAAAAAAGAATCTTCATAAAATGCTAGATTTATAAACTTAGCTGCAAGTAACACACCAGGGAACACATTGATGTTAAAATTGATACAATTGTGATGAGTGTTAATCCATAGACAAGCTAATTGAAAATCTGCTGAGGGAAGAAATTGCATTTTCATTTCAGGCTTACTACCTGGAGTTCTCTTGCATTGGTAGGTTGGCATGAATTATTTCTCAGAATTGTTGTGATTAATATTCTAGTCGGTGTTCTATTTTTGTTTGATTTGTGAACTTTAAATGTTCAGAGCATGTTAACTGTTCTTGGAGAGTTGAGTTTTTGCTCACCTAAGCTGAAAGCTCAAATGAGTTTTGGGATCACCCGTTGTCCATTCATCCATCCGCCCGTCTGTAAACTTTTCACATTTTCATCTTCTTCTCAAGAACTACTGGGCCAATTTTAACCAAACTTGGTACAAAGCATCCTTGGATGAAGGGAAATTTAAATTGTTTTTAAAAATGAAGAGCCAAGCCCCCTTCCAAGGGGAGATAATCAAGAAAATACAAAAATGGGGTGGGGTCATTATAAAATCTTCTTCTCAAGAACCACTGGGCCAGAAAAGCTGAAACTTATGTGGAAGCATCCTGGGATAGTGTAGATTATAAATTGTTCAAATCATGGTCCCCAGGGTAGGATGGGGCCACAATCCCCAGGGTAGGATGGGGCCACAATAGGGAATCTAAGTTTTACATTGAAATATAGAGGAAGAATATTTAAAAATCTTCTCCTCAAGAACCACTGGGGCAGAAAAGCTGAAACTTATATGGAAACATCCTGGGGTAGTGTAGATTCAAAATTGTTCAAATCATGACCCTTGGGGATAGGAAGGGGCAACAATAGGTATTACAAGGGGGAAAATCTGGTGAAGAACAGCAAGGCCAAAGTTAATCAGGGGAGAATTGTGGCCCATGGGCCTCTCGTTTAAATAGCATACAACACTTAACACGTCTGTATTTGGGAAGGATTGCTTAGCTATTAGTTGGTGCAAGGATTGTATTTCCTATCCACCTATGCCATGTTATCATAACCTGATATATGAACAGAAGATTTTCTACACTTTGCTTTTGCAAAATTTCAATTAATTCTTTAAAAATGTAAAACAATAATTACATTTTCAATGTTTTGTCTGTAATATTTCTGCTAATAATCTCTTAAATTACATCATCATAACTGCATCATCTCTTGTGTGACTGACGAACAATTTCTTTGTGTCTATCTTTGGATATCATTACGTCAGAAGGCTGGCTTATTTTTAATTTGATCTATTAATCAGGAAGTTCACGTTGGATAGTGGTCAGAGTGGGGGAATGACAATAAAAACAAAGTGTTTAATTATAGTTTCTGTAAAGTATGCATACTTATACCTGTATATGTATCAAGTTTGAGCTAGGTAGACTTATGGTAACTCTTAGGTAGAAGTACGAAATACTTATGTATTTTTTTTGTGTGTGTGTTGTTTGGGAAGCAATCTGGAAGCACCTGATTATTCTTGCAAAAGAAGCTTTGTTTTTTATGTGAATTATCACGTGCTCGGAGGTTGGTTATCACGTAACAAACACAAAAAATAATGTCATTTATAATCCTCTTATAAATAGACACTTGTTCCTTATTGCTCTGACTGACTGCGCCATGGATAGGTCTGAAGTAATTCACTTAACCTTTACAGCCTTCAAAAGGGGAAATCAGAAACGAAATTATGATTGGATCTTATAAAACAAGTACGTCAGATGTAACCTTGGGTCAGTGTGATCCAAGCTAAGTAGAGCAGCTGCTCAATTTTCTTACTTTATCCTTTTACACCTAGTACTGGTCAAAAATTTAGGGGTAGCAGCATGTGTAAAATTAAATTTTGTTATGCCCGCCATGAATATGGCCCGGACATATAGAGTTTGTCATGTCCGTCTTCCATCCTTCTGTCTCTCCGTCTTACTGTCCTTCCGTCATGCTTTGCGTTTAGCTCAGTTCAAAGCTCTTTAGCTCAGTTTTAAATAAACCATTCAAGATATTTTTATCAAATTTCATATGCTGATACATATTGAAGTAACCTATTCAACTGCATTAATATTTTTTTGACCATGACCTTTACTTTGACCTTGACCTCACTTTTCTTAAATTTGTGTTTAGCTTAGTTTAAAAGCAACCATTCATATCTTTATCAGCCTTCATATGCTAATACATACTGATGTAAGCTTTTCAACTGCATCAACATTTTTTTGACCTCGACCTTTCCTTTGACCTTGACCTCACTTTTTTTCAAATTAGTGTTTAGCTCAGTTTTTAATAAACCATTCAAGATATTTTTATCAAACTTAATATGCTTATAAATATTAGTGAGAGCTATTCAACTGCATCAAAAATGTTTGACCTTGCACTTTCCTGTGACCTTGACCTCACTTTTCTTTAATTTGCATTTTGCTTAGTTTTAAAGAAATCATTTAAGATATTTTTATATAAGCTTATGCAAGTATACGTAATTTGATGAGAATTTATCATATATATCCAATTTTTTAGATTTCAATTTCAATTTTAAGGAAACTATTCAAGATATTCTCATCAAACTTCATACACTTTAACACTTATACAAATTTTCATGTTGCATTACTAATATACACTCAGTGGGGCATTCATGTGCTATAGACATATTTCTAGTTTCTTTATGGACCTTTGCTTTGAATTCCTTTTGTATTCTCTATAAAAGAATCCATTTGTCTCATAGGAACATGTGTTCAGTTATGGATTTTTTTCTGACACTTTTCAGAACTGAAAATTGAAATCATCTAAATCATAATTCAAAGGTTACTCCACCCTTCATTTTCTCATTAGTGGACAGTATATTAAAAAAAACTACATATTACTTGTAGACTCCTTATATTAAATTTTCTTTGCAGTCACTCTAAGCATACCTGTTATCAAACTATAAACAGGTGTGTACTTCACTGAAACTATGAATTAAAAAATAAAATGCTTTTTACATTGCCTCTTGAACTCTGACCTCTATTGTTGTATATTATTGGTATATTTGTGACATGTCTTTTGCTAAATAAGGATACAAAGAAATACATGTAGTTCATAGATCACATTAGAGGCAATATGGTTATGAAGGTGTAACCATTGAGGAGAAAAATGTTATGGACCAGACCCTGATTTGAACCCAGGCCCCCTGAATCTCTAGTCAGGTGCTCTACCACCTGAGCTATCTGGCCACCAAGGATTGTACCTGTTTGGCCACCAAAGTTTTTCTCCTCCTGGTTTTTCTGACACATAAGTCCTAGATTTTACTGTTATACAAGTTTTCATGACATTCTATAATGTTGGCTGTTTAGTTTTTATGTACTTTGGTGGGATTTGTCACACTGTAAAGTGTGAACACCAATAGACTTCTTTGATATGCTCATTGTTACCATAGTTACACAAGAAATCAATTAGACTGGGATATCCTAGCTGACAACCAATTACTAGACATAGGTGTATGTAGAATGTAGAAATGAAATAAGCATGTTTGTACAAATGAGATTTCTGTTTGAATAAATGAAATACACATTTCATTGTAGTTTTGTTTGTTTAAACATTAGCAAGTTGAAGGACAGTTAAACTACAGTGTCTCCCTTAGAATGCCTGTGATTTAAAGTGGTTCCCTACTTGACATTTGGAGGGGGGGGGTATGCATTTTTTCCTTGGAACCTACAATAACATCTTATGTTACTAAAAAGCCAGAGAGATACTTGTTTGGACTCATTATTTCTCTGACCCAAATCTCTATAAGATGTATACCCCCATGATTTCAATCAAACTCAATAGTTGGCAGTTTTTATACATACAATATTAAAGCAAAATTACTTTCAGATATATATACTAAACAAGTATTTATCAGTCATGTTAGAAATTTATGATTGATGTCACTTTCATTCATCAATTGATGAGGAAATATGGTGAGGAAAGTATACTAATGGAAAAGCCAAAATTTGACATTTCTGACCATCTTTTTGATAATTTCCTTTTTCTCTTTAGAATGTTGCATTTAAAAAGCTAAGTAAATATAGTAATTTATGGGCTTTCTTTTTTATGCCCCGTATCGAAGATTCGGGGGTATATAGTTTTTGCCCTGTCTGTCCATCTGTCTGTCTGTTTGTCTGCAAAAACTTTAACATTGCCCATAACTTTAGATTGGTTGAAGCTACAGCTTTCACATTTCACATGTGTATTCCTTTTGACAAGACCTTTCTTTGGGTACCACCATTTTTGACCTTGGAGTTTGACCCAGTTTTGCAAAATTTTTCCCTACTTTAACCTTGGCCATAACTTTTGAATGATTGGTGCTAGGGCTTTCATACTTCACATGTGTATCCCTTGTGACAAGACCTTTCTTTGAGTACCACCATATTTGACCTTTTGACCTTGACCTTGGAGTTTTCACCTACTTTTGAAAAACATTGGCCATTACTTTTGAACAGTTAGTGCTAAGGCTTTCATACTTAGCATATATAATCCTTGTGACAAGAACTTCCTTTGGATTTCAACAACTTTGACCCTTTGACCTTGACCTTTGGGTTTGACCTACTTTTGTAAAACGTTAACATTGGCCATAACTTTTGAACGGCTGGTGTTGGGGCTTTCATACTTCACATATGTAATCCTTGTGACAAGACCATCCTTTGGATTCCAACAACTTGGACCCTTTGACCTTGACCATGGAGTTTGACCTACCTTTGAAAAACTTTAACCTTGGCCATACCTTTGAATCACTGATGCTAGGGCTTTCATACTTCACCTATATAATCCTTGTGACAAGACCTTCCTTTGGATACCAACAGTAGTAATCCATTGACCTTGACCTTGGTGTTTGATAAATTTACTTTTGAAACACTTTAACCTTGGTCATAACTTTTGAACGATTGGTGCTTCAGCTTTCATATTTCACCTGTATATTT